CTTCTTCCTGCTCTTCCCTCTCTTCTTCTTTCACTCATGCTTTTCTCATTTCAGGCACTAAAACCTTTTCAGTTTTATGGATGCTACACTTTTTCACAACCATGCCAAGGTTATTTCTGACATTCTATGCCTTTTTGTTTCTATAACGAGACAATCTTTGTAGAAAGGAAAAGGCTCAAAAATCTTCAGTGAACCAGTCCTTCTGCCATTTGAGTAGACCATTAGATTTGAGTACTGCATATGAAATGATCTTTGAATGCAAAGCACAGTTTTAAATCTCTTGTCAGAAATTACCTACTATAAAAAGGCATTTCTAAAATCAGTGTATCTAGAGATATTGATCTGCATTGATTCATGGATATGTATCAAAAATCTGAATTTAACATACTTTACCTAAAGTAAGATGTATATTATGAATGTATTTTTTATATCTATCTCCAGTATTTTTGCTAGTTCCCAGCAGGTATTTTCATGAAATGCTGGCTCTACTTTTACCTAGGGTCACCTGTGTGGTTTAACATCTTTATTATCAGCAATGCACAAACCATTCCTGTGCATCATGCACATCGTTTGATTCATTGATGAGTTGCAGGCACGTGCCGCACTCTGCCGAGAAGACTGAGTGCTGTGTGCCAAGTGTTCGATTTCTTACAGCAGCTTTGGTGTCTTCATCCTTCTCTCCTACCTCCATGAGTGCATACAGCCTGAGTTCCCTGAACATGGGGACCTTACCTCGCAGCCTCTACTCCACCAGCCCGCGCGGGACAATGATGAGGCGGAGGATGAAAAAGAAGGACTTCAAAAGCTCCTGTAGGTGGTAACAGCAACCGCTTGAAATGTGCAATGGATGGGCGGACGCGGGGAAAGGTGTAGCAGAAAGGTACAAGGTACCTTACTTAATATATACTAGTCAGAAGAGAGAACAATTGGAGTTTCTGTTAGATGTGAGGAAGCATCAGCATAAAAGTGTTTATCTAGTGCTAAAGTGAGATGAGTAGAGGCCATATGGCTTAAAGGTCTCATCGGAAACATATAATGCCCTAATTTCAGTGCTGCAAGGGGTTGTAACACTGTTACTAAAGTGATTTTCAAATTCCTTTTTTGACTCTCCCTTTTTACATCAGGGAGTAAAATTCGTAGCTGACTAGTCAAAAATAGGAGTATTGGTAGGCTCAGCTATCACATAACAGAAGAGCTTGCCGCTCTACCTCCTATGTAGTTTTAATGTTTGTATCTATACCGTAACCTGTAAAAACATTTTTGTAGAGTGACAAATAACAGTGAAGACTAAGCAGCCTTGTTTCTGGCCAATCTCCAGGGTTCAAAGCATGGGTTTCCCATGTGTCAGTAATTTCCCAAGCCAGAGTGGGTATATTTCAGTCTGCTCCACTTTGTACATTATTTTTCACTGGACCAGAGAGAGTATGGCTGTACCAGTGCACAGTTTCCCAGACTCCATGGAAGTGCCTTCTCTCCTTTTGGCTTGTCTGTTTTCCCATGATCACCAGGGTCAGCAGCAGCTCAGTTCCTCCAGAGCAGGGGGGTGAGAACTGGCTGCGTAACCACCTGCTCCAGCTAATAATGCCCACAGATCCACTCTGGAAAGACTGATCTTGCTGCAAACTACACTGCTGCTGCCCCATATTAAAGATTTCCCATGATCATAGCAAAATCAGAGCAAAACGGCAACCTCCCACCAAGGCCAGTCACTAAGGAATCGAGAGGGAACATTTGAGAGAGGAAATGAGGTTTTGCTTTCTTGCAGAAGTTTTTGTTGCTTGCTTGTTCTTGCTTATTTCTTTTGTAAAGCAAATATTTTTACATAACTTTTGCCCGTAAGTACGTTTTTGCTTTTAATCTGATCAGCCATTTATCACAACTCATCTGTTGACATGCTGGCTTCTAATACATTCTTTCGTGTCACAGGGAGATGATGTGCTGTCCATACTAGGTATCAGCAGAGGCCCAGCTCTTACATGTTCTCACATGCACATGAGAAACAGTAGTAGTGTTACACTAATTGATTTGAATAATAAAATAATACCTGAGGCAAAAAAATAGTTCTTAGATTGTGACATATTATAGGACCGTTCTGTACAACAAAAGACTGTTAATTCTGGAAGCAATTTTAATATAGTTACAGATCTAGGAGAGAGTTGTTACTTGCGTTATTTTGTTTTTCAAATATTTTTCATTCAGCAAAGCATAGCCATACAATTTGCCAACACACAGAGGTCCAGATTTTGGACCCTTACGTCCAAAGATTTATATTAGATTTAAGTGGGACAGTCACATAAGCACTGCAGCCCACCTAAAAGAGATTCCTAAAATGAGAAGGCACTGGGGATGATGATCTGCTGTGGAAGAATTATTAAACAAATCGCTACCTACAAAGTATCAGGCTGCGGCTTGGTAGTGGGTAGTTTATCCCACATTTGGCTGATCGTGAGGTGTTGAGCTTTCCAAAATATGGGGAACTCGCCCCATCCCTCAGTCTGCCTGTGGTTTACTACCAGCAGTGACTGCATTAGCAACCCTGAATCAGAGCTGGCTTGAGAGGAACTGACTACTAGCTGGCTAGCCAGGTTTGCTCACCCTTTTCCATGAGCTGGCTCTTCAGCCCGAATAAGGTGCCTCACTTCTTTTGCTAGACTTCTACCTCCACTTGTGACTGTAGTAATAGTCAACTTAAAGATACCGAAGAGACTGAATGTGTGACAAATAACCGTGGTACAGAATGGCTGTTGCTGTACCCTGCCACTGCCCAGCAGCAGGACTTGGCAAACTTTGCCCTCTCCCTCTGTGGGAGGCTCGTGAGAAGCAGGTAGCACTGTTGTCCTTTTCACAGAAAGAGAGCAGCCTATTGTCTTAATTTTAGTGATCCTTTTCTTAGCCCAGTTGGATTGTTTAAGGGTTTTTGTTTAATGTAACTTTTAATAAATCTTTTGGGATGTTACTTGGGAAGAAAAGGATGTTTCAATGAAGGGTGCTATAAAGTTTTCAGTGCCAATTATTCAGGCAAACCTGCAAAACTTAATGTGATCATCCCAAAACTCATGCTGATGAAGTGTGATGATATAGGGCCTTTTATGGCCGTGAGTTTGCAGTCATTGCATTACTTATGCAGATCTTTCCAAACATGTGGCTGTAAAACTTAAAGGCATGCCTGCTATCATGTGCTTTATTTATGCCACTTGTTTTCCATCTGTAATCTTCCTCTGCTTTTTCACTTTTAAAATATGGTACTTATTGTGGAAAAGCTTATATTATTTGGTTAACGTTTAAATCCTTAAGTATTTTGTAATAGGTCCATGTTAGTACTTAAAAGTGAGAGATGATTTTATACCAGCTTACATGATCGTTATTGTGGCTGCATGTCTGGTAGCAATTAGAGAGTCTCAGGCATGCACGGATGTGGTTTTCTCAGCACATCGGAGTTAGCTGCTACCAGCAGGAGCAGCGAAACATTTTGCATTTTCCAAGGTTCACAGTGGAGGACTGCAGGCATAATAATCCATACACTTAGCTTTAAATACATCTTGTTCTGCTTCTCTCATATCTACAGGAATAAAACAAACAAATATAAAGCCTTCAAATTGAAGATCACAGATTTACGTGCTACATAGGGTATAGCACACCGGTCCCCACGGTTGTTGCTATCTTACAGTTGGATGCAAAATATACAAGTATGCTAAGATGTACACCTAGCATTAGCAAACAGAGTTCACTGGAGCCATATACACATTCATGCACCCGTTCTAATGCAATGAGATTCCTGGCAAAGGTTGCTTCGGTGGTTGTAAAGCTTCAGACCCATCAAGCAGCCAAAAAATGGCACAGTGTTTCTTGCTGCAATCATCAGTGAGTTGCAAACCCCAGTGAGCTTTAAGTGATGTTTTGGGGTCCCTGTGACATTTTATAGAGCCTTAGCAGAGAGCTCTTACTGCATGGTTTGGAAAGGATATTTTCATCTCTGCTTTTTAGTTCCTGTTTCCGGTTTGGTTTTTTGTGGGAGTGGGAGTAGTTCCCAGTGATCACTTGTAAGTGTCCACATAATCAAAATATTTGCCGGAGTTAGTATTAAATCTCACAAGTATTAACCTAATTTGACAGTATGAATTAAAACTTTAACTGCCCTGGAACTTAAAATAAATGTTTTAAGACCTTTGAGATTTCTGAGTAGGGCATTATAAAAACAGTAAGAAAGTTAGCGAGTTATCTAGATGCCTGCTGCAGAGAAGGAATGGACACCTAAGTGAGGGGAGAAATGCAGCTAGCAAGTAGAGTGATTGTTGCATGACCTTAGAGAGAGGAAGAATGGAGCTTTACTGAGCTTTGACACTCTTGAGTTTAGAAATTTCTAGAGGGTGGATTCTGGGATCTGATATTACTAGCTTTGAATTTATCTGACCTACCCATATTTTAAGCCGTTGGAGTGCTGCGAGCTGGAAAGACCTGTTTTTCACGTGCGGCACTAAAGCTGGTGGCCATATCTAAGAACAGATTATTAGCATTTACATTTGGGTATGAGCTTATCTTGCTCAGTGCTTGTAGAGGAAACAGTAAGAATGAAGCTGTTGAATCAGTACACAGTTCCTACAAAGGAGAGTGAAAAAAGAAATGAGTGAGAATTCACAATAATTTAGAAAAGACAATGGGTTTCAGAGTCAATTGTACTACTGAATGAAGGTTTACTGGGAGAAAACAGAAACTCATGAGTTTTTCTTGGCAAGTGAAACTTTTGCAACAGAATCGTTATTGAATTTTTATCACTGAATGTGCCACATTAGTCAGATTTTAGACTAACCATGGCAGAAGAAAGGCCCCAAAGTGAAGGAAATACTTCTACAACCCCCAGGGAAACCTCTGAGATCTTTGTACAGCTGTGCTAATAATATCTGTAATGTAAAAGCAAGGGCTAATTTTTCCCACACTTAAAATATTCCATATTTAAACTACCCCTTTAGATAGCAATAGCTTTAGCTATTGCAGGCAGAAACAGGTCTTGAAGGAATTTAGAGGTGGAGAAAGTAATAAGATAGATTTTCTGAATCCTAGGCACTGGAGGAATATCATTACAATACTGTACCATTACTTTCCTGGTCTGAATAGGAACTGAAAAAAAATCTAGTTTTCTGTCTATGACATAGTACTGTGTTTTACTGGGTGCATGTAAACAATGATAAAATACACTTTTAGGTGGAGATCAAAGAACCAAAGGTGCAGTCTGCTCCTTTCATAGGTAGTTGCACTGAATCCCAAATTCTATTTTTATCTTATTCTGTAGTGCAGCTGATTCAGAATGGGAGTGAGAATACAGGAATCCTGAAAATACAGAAGTAGCTGTCTGTGTGTCTCACAGGAAGGGTTCTTCAGTCTCTTTAAGGGAACCCACAGAACTTTTTTCCCCCACAATTTCTTTAGACATATGGGTTGATAAAACAGAAAAGTTAGTTCAACATACATTACCCAGTTAGCCTGACATAACTGTTGTCAGGTAGTAAGCATGTACAAGGTGATAAGAAGAAGTCATCCTTCTTTCGTGCAAGCAAGCCTGGACGTGCGCTCTGTTGCTAACGAGTACATTACTGTGAGATGTTCAGAAGAGCCCACGGGAATCAGCCTGAAAAACAGATGAGGTTGTGCCTCCAGCCCCCTTAGTTCCTTTGAAAATTCTGCTCGTCCATGCCTAGAACTTAGTGCAAGTAGAATTCAGGGGCGTGCTGAGGTTTTTGGGGTGGGGGTAGAGGGGGTCAAGCGAATTTATTTTACACAGTAAATGAACTCTCTTTTTGAGTTATACCATACAACCAGATGTTTTCTGTTGTCTTATGTGTCGTAACTGTTTGTACATCGTTTGTAAATTTAGCATAAATAGAATTTGAGAGAGATGTTTCCATAAGTAGGTTTATTGTACAGATCAATTTTATTGAAGAGCAATGAAATTTCTGCTGCCTGTGTATGAATGTCTTTCCCCCTGGTCTGCTCTGTTTTATAGTGTCTTTAGCCTCTAGCACTGTTGGTTTGGCTGGGCAGGTCGTCCACACAGAAACCACAGAAGTAGTGCTGACAGCTGACCCCATTGTAGGGTTTGGGATACAGCTCCAGGGTAGCGTGTTCGCTACAGAGACCTTGTCTTCTCCACCTCTCATTTCCTATATTGAGTCTGACAGTCCGGCAGAAAGGTGAGGTTCTTTCAGATGATTGCTAAGTACATTTTGGTGAGCGTTCCTCAGGGTACTTTGGGCTGGTTGTTTTGAATTGATAAATTGCAGAGCCATGCTCAACAGAAGTGTGGCATGTAATAAACTATCTGTTCTGACAATCATATTTCATATTCTTGATCAGCTATAAGAAGAACGACAAGCACCAGTGTCTTGATCATGCGGAGTCCTCCAGCAGGAGACTGGAAGCTACATTCATTAAAAAGAAAAAAAAAATCAACTACATCTCTGAAGTCAAGATAGTAATAATTCAGTGTGCCACTGGGGGAAGCCATGTCCTGTTCTGCTCCGTTTTAGTATATGTGAAATCTTAGGAAATAACAGAGTTTTGATTTACTAGCTATTTCATTGCGACATTTCAATTGCACTTATATGCTTATATATGTTTTTAATCATGGCATGAGTGCATATAGAGCAGCAGTAGTGGCACAGGCAACTGCTAGCTGCCACTGCAGAGCTACAACATCTGTAGCCCAGGGTCAGAGACAGCGGTGATGTCCACAGGTGGGCTGGAGGCGCAAGGGCTGTGCCCCTCTTCCCGGGTCGCACAACCATGCTGGGAGTGTTGCTGGTGCAGAGGGGCTGCAGGGGCTTGTGTCACCCTTTAGTAAATCTGTGCCTGGGCAAACTCTTGAACTTCCACGTCACTCTTCTCTTTTAAGGCTAGGTTGGATGTGTGTAATAGTACTGGTTCGGGTAACATGCATGTCTAAAGATTGTTTTGTGTCGTTGTGTACCAAGGTGTGGGGTCCTGCAAATAGGAGACAGAATAGTGGCAATAAACGGTATCCCGACAGAAGACAGCACGTTTGATGAGGCCAATCAGCTGCTCAGAGACTCCTCTATCACCAACAAGGTCACTCTGGAAATAGAGTTTGATGTTGCAGGTATGAACATACTGTTATTCTGTCTTACAAGAGAAAGGAAGGAATAAATCCCAAGTATATTGTGCGTGTTAGGCATCCAAGGTGAGGACTTTCCTCTCCCATTAAGTTGTCAAGTGAGCTATTTGAAGAGGGTGCCTTGTTGTGCAGCTTTCTCATTGCACTTAGCCCTGCAGCGTGCTTCAGAACCCAAAGAGAAGTGACAAGTCCTGTAGAAAGGTCTGGTGACAAAGTCTCTCCTCTGAGTTATTTCTGGGTGTATTTCTGCCCTGAGATAGGAATATTTTGCTGAGTCAAGACAAATCCTCTACAGGGAAGCTAATGAAATGTTTTACTATGCAGAAAAGCATTATAAAAGAGCAAATAAGCAGAAAATTCTGAAGAGTTTTACTTGCAGTACTTTAAACCAACAAGCTAAATAAAACAGTAGAAATTGAATTAATAAAAGCTAATAAAAATAATGTTGTTTATGTTGCTGGGGAATCTTTAGTATTACTAATGGCTTTCCCCCATTTCGTCTGTAATGTGTTTAAGTATATAGAATACACCTATAAAGTCACAAATTGTGTAAATCAAGTGAGCACACGTTCTGTATGTGCCTTACCCACCCCACTATGTAAATAGGAAAAACGTTTAAGACTTCTGTGCTGACCTGGCAATAGCTCCTTTGAAGTCAGAACAGTGTCAGATGTGCTGTATTTATTTCACACAGTATGATTATTCGAAATGGCATTATAAGTCATTATGTCAAAAGCAGGCAAAAAGTTTTTAGTGTAATAATTCTAAGCGATGTTTTAGTATGTACGCGTCTAGTAAAACGTAAAAAAATTGGCCAAATAACGTACATGCGTTTGTATACGTAGGAAATGGATTATTAAAAAGTAAGAAAACAGAATAATGAGAAAGTAGCGTTTAAATGTGCCTGGAGTCACAAAGGACAATGAGGTTTGTATTTCAATCTCCAAATTTGTTTGTGTTCCTCCCATTTGCTTCATGAGAGCAGACTCACGCTCATGGTTACACTCTCCTGTCAGGTATATATTTATATGTTTGCACTGCTGTAATTTCAGCTTGATCCTCTTCCGGCCAAAGCCCAAACCTTGGGTCACAGTAATGCCAAATGTCAGGATTCAAATGCAGTGCTGTTTGTTCAAGTGTTTTTTGCCTCAGCCAGCACCAGACACATCTTCATTAGTAATGTTTTGATTCTTTTTCTTCCCAGGAGATGTAAAATCCATGGCACTTACCTCACTGGACATTTCAAACTATATTAGACCTACTACAACAAAGGCCTGAAATCCTTAAGACTTGATTTTCTGTCCTTTTAATTAAAATCTATCTGCCAGCGCTAAAATTTTCATGTGTGCTCACAGAAATTGCACGAGCTAAAAACTTGCAGTCTCAGCTGGCTGGTGGCCCATGCAATCTCCATAAATTCAGTTAAGCCTTAAAAAAATTGAGTTACCGTGAAATTACCAATAAAGGTATAAATCACATTTCGTATAGCCTCCTTCTTTCACTTCGGCACCCATGTTTCGTTTGTGGCTATGCTGCTGATGTGATTTCATCAATTTACACATCCAGTTCCGTGTACTTGGAATTGCTGTGTCTTATAAACTGTCTAACGTTTTTAATATTTTTTTATAGAATCAGTTATACCAAGCAGTGGAACATTTCATGTAAAACTACCAAAGAAGCATAACGTGGAACTTGGCATCACCATAAGTTGTAAGTGAAAGTGCTTATTTTTAAGACCACATTTACAGGATAATCTAGAGATAAGTAGATCCTGTAGTTACAGACTCACATTAGTTTTGGTTTAAACTTCTATTTCCTTTTCTCTAGAATGGGATGGTTAGCAGTGCTCTGTCTCTTAGTGAAATACCATCCTGTAACAGATTTATATTCCCTCTTTAGCCAGTTAAAGAAGCCAGCAGTTTGCCAGGCCTAAAAATTGACTTATTCCTTCGTGTGTAGTACATATTTAACTCCTATTGAGGTTAATTTTTTTAAAGAAGTCAGTGATGTTAGGTACAGACAAAAGTACTTCCATAACTAGGGAAGCTGTGAATAGCCTGTCATGGCCTCTGTCACGAACGTTACCCATTTCAGAGTGGGGCTCTGAACTGCAGAAGTCAAGAATCCAAGAGTTCTCGCAGGCAGAAGGATCCTCTTATATGGGATTATTTTCTGTACCAGAGCTTGAAAATACTTCCTCAGTCAGTATTTAAAAATAATTCTGTCCAATTACTTTTTACATCTTTCTGGTCTTAATTGCAAGGAGCTGTGGAATTGCACAGCTGGAATTGTCACGTAGTGCAGAGGCATGCGCTACGCCGGGCAGACCTGTGTGTGCTGGGGGGCGGGTGATGAAACCGCCTGTTCCTTCTCTCAGCCTTGTTGCTGAAATACTTGCACTCGAAAACTGTCAGTGTCCACCAGAAAGTAGAGGGTGGTCTTAAATGTACAGGTGGCATAGGAATATCCTCTTTCACGGAGGTTTTCAGGTTGCTGAAGAAGATAGATGACAAGGGCATGTATTTATCTAAGGCCAGAATCTGGCCTTGCTGGAATTAGCATTCTGTTATGGTTGTGGCCTTTCTTAGAGTATTAGCCTTTTTTGGAATTATGTCTTGGAGGGAGGTTGTGCTTTGACTGATGTTCTCAAAGCTTCCACCAGCACAGTGAAATAAAATTAATTAAAAGTACAGCAGGGACTCAGTGCTAAGAATTACATCTGAGGAACAAATGAGAGACACTGCAGACCTGTTTCCTTGTGCTGCTACTTGAATGAGGGATTGTTGGACTCTGTAAAAAACGGTGCTTGAAGCAAAATCATAGGTCTAGATATATTTGTGCAAATGAAAAGAGTGGAAAACGAGAAAACCTGGGGAGAGGCTGTTCTGTTTGAACAGTATCTTAGGATCAGTAATGATCTGCAGGATTATGGTAGAAATATTGTCTTCCTAGTAATTTAGTTAATACTGTTTTTTGAAATTCGGATACCTTGTACTTTTTTGTCTGGTGGGAATAAACTTCGAGTGGAAAGCGAGTGTGCTTGTGTGTAGTATTTAGCACTCTTTCAAATCCTACAGACCTTTCTCTCTTGCAGCGTAATTTCCTTTGGTTACTGCGTTATGTTCGGAGGAACACCTAGCTGGTGTTAGCTCTGCTCTTCTGAATATACTGCAGTATTTTTCATATGTAAATTAAATTATCTATTATATATAATAATCCCACTTGTGAATAGTATTTAATACATATGAACTGTATCTAACATTGTTTAACTCTTTATTTGGTTTTAAAGGATTTATACTATTAATGGGAAGTTTGCAAATTTGCTTGGTAGAAGTCTTGAATTGCTTCTTTTTGTGCTTACTTTTCACTACTTTACTCTGTTCTATCTAAATAACTCCCTAAATGAGCAGTGTGATTGGAAGAATATGAGTGGTTTTATGTTCATTTTGTCAAATTTTTGTCAGGACATTTTATCACATTAGCATGCCTTTTATTACTATTGATATTGTCAGAGAGCTATATCATTTCTTTTAAAAAACAAGCGGAATACTAAGTTGTAACTCAGCAGAGTTGGTATGACGAGGCTTCAGGCGGAAATGACATAGGAGATCAGGTTAATTCACTCCTGAGCTTGATCTGGATAAGTGCTAGAGACCTGTTTCATCATCTTGCTTTTCAAGGTTGTGGAGTTAATAGTGAGTGAGAAAGTACTGTCTCTATAAAAACATTACAGAGAGCACCTGTTTCGCTTTACATATCCCCAGTTTTGTTTGGTGTTTGGATGACAGAGTCAAGAGACAGGCAAGACGGACACTTTTTGTCAGAAGGGAAATGCAGGCCTTCCCTCAGGTTGGCACTTCAGCGTATGCTTGATTTTAAGTCCAGGAGTTATTTAAGTCAGATGTTAAGAGGCAGACATCCTCAAAATGGAATTTATTTCTCTTTCTTTGTGTTACCTTCTTTGGTAATAAACACCAGGTTGGCTTGCATGGAATTACAGCCAGGTGCTTGAAGGCCTGGATATATCCAGGTGGCACAAAACAGTAAAGACACTTAAGCTAATTCATGGTCCTTGGAAAACATGAAGTCGAGTAGAGGAAAATATTAAGTTTGCCTTAGTTTCAGATGTATTAATTCAACCAACCCCTTCCCCCAAAAAACCCTTCGACAGCAGAAACCCCTAGAAAGGAAGGCAGATAAAACTTTCATGAGGATCATTGTAAATCTGGGGCACTGCGCTTCACAGCTTCTCACAGTATAGTGGCCTTGCCGGTGCCGCCTTAACACATGCTGAACTTTTATCATCCTTTGGCCTTCCCTTATCCCTGCAATATCTGTCTTAAGATTGACCCATCTCCCCCTTGATATCTGCTTGCACTCAATAAAGAGCCTACTGCAAAGTTTGCAAAGATAAGCGACTATATATTTCATGATGCAGCTGCCACCATCTTCACCCCCACTTACCTGGCTGGAGCAATTAGAATGTCTCAGGTTTTAAAATTGGGTCATTCAAATAAAGCATGACACAGCAGTGCATGTATATGTGTCTCATTACCTTTCCAGAAAAGAACCGTTGCATCCAAGGAGGACAGCTTTCTAGTGCTGGTGCTCAAATCTGTTATAATTTATTTGCCAGCTGTATTGATTTTAGACCATGTAATGGAATATAGATTTTTTTTTAAGATCAGTTTTTGTGACACTGACTACTTAATCATAGACTGATATTTTTTAAGTACATTAAATGATGTCCAAAAATTTACTTACTATTACGGTCTGGTAATTGTAGTTGCCAGCTCTTTTTTTTCCCCTTCTTTCTTTCTTAAGTAAGATTCTGATATCCTTACTATAATGAACTGCAGCATCTTGCTTCATAAGTATTCTCTCTGAAGCTAATGGGACTACTCAAGGAATAAAGCTGTAAAGCTGGCTGGCAAGAATATCAGAATCTCACCCAGACTGTCATCAGTTTTTCTAAGTCATTTTAACTAGCAGCTAAACTATATTCTGCTTTACTGCTTTTGTATCTTATCAGAAAGAAACCTTGTAAATATCTGAAGATATTTAACACCGGCTATGGGAGGTGACTTTCTGAAACTTGTTTCTGTATATTTTGGAATTCCATGTAGCAAAATTCATTTTACAGCGTTACAGGTAACCATTTTCAAGACAGGGTCTGAGACAGAACCAGCAAATTTCTCAGCTGCTTTGAATAAACCACTGCTTAAAGAACAAAAGAACTACTTCAGTCCACTTTTAATAAGTTCTTCTCTCTGTTTAATAAGCACACTATTTAAAAGAAAAAAAAAAAAAGGAAGCCCAGTGGCTGGTAAAAGACGTTGTGAGTCAGTGGACTGGCTTTCTGTAAAAAGTGTTTCTTAATCCGTGAGCATTTTCCCCTGAAGTTTGTTCAGAATTTGATCAAACTCCAAAACTTGAAGCCAGAGCCCCATAAGTGGGTTTTGGCTGCTAGGTGAGATGTTCACCCAAAATCTGTCAAACTGCTAACTCTTTTTTAGTCACATTGTTTTTTAATTTGGGTTGGCAATGAAATAAGAAAGGCAATTTGGTTTTTTGTTTTCCTGATACAACAGCTGATCTGCAGAACTCACAATGCATCACTGAACTTGCTTTCCTTTGAGGGAGGTCTTTACTAGTAAAAGTAGGGTGGAGGCCTGGGACTAAGACTTAGAATCGTGGAATAATTTAAAGAGTAACTAAAGGAGTCTCTGGAGGTAATTTGGCCCAATCCCCTGCTCAGAGCAGGGCCAACTTAGATCAGGTTGTTCAGGGCTGCCTTCAGTTGAGTTTTGAAAATCTCCAAGGATAGAGATTGCCCAACCTCTCTGGACCCTCACCCTTCCTGAGACTAGACCTGTATCCAGGATCTAACTTACACCAATTTTTAGTACGAGCAAATCTTGGAGAAGTATCTCCCATCTTCCTTCCCTCACTGCCCCCAATGTGATTCTATCGCCTGGATCCGTGTGGTGAATCTCAGGCTTTTATGCCTGTTTGTCGTCTTTGGAGGTTTGCTATTTGATAGGGACTGGTTTTTTTAATGGCCTTTTAAAAACAAAACTCAGAAGTTATGTGTAAAAATGGAGAGTTAAGGCTGTACAATGTCATTTCAAACGTATTGTGTTAGTTAATTAGGATACATTTTTGAATTACACAGTCAAATAGTTCTCACTGGGACTCTTGCTTCCCTGCCCTCTTGGGAGAGATGAAACTGGGCTGTGTAGCAAAGAGGACTGTTGTCTCCAGCGCTCCTGCTTCCTTTTTGAGATTGCGTGGAGGTTGCATAACGAATAAGGTGGAGGACTGCAGAAAGCGAAAGGAGGTGATCTCATGCTCAAGATACTTTAATGCTACCCTGGAGAAATTAGTTTTATCCTTGTCCGTGCAACAGAGCTATGCTGAGGTGCTAGTCATTCCACAGGGGAAAAAAAAGCAAAAAACAAAAACGTATTTTCCACAGGTGGCTGCTTGATTTTCTAGGGAAACATTGAAATCCTAAGGTCACATTTGCAGAAACGCTGAGCATTTGCAGCTATGGCTGAAAATGCCAGTGGTTGTGTTTTGAACACACAAGGTATTATTCGTTACAAACTACTGTGAAAAATTAGGGCATGAGTATCTCAAATTGCTCACCCCAAGTTGTCATACTTTGACCTAAATGCTCCCATGTTTCGTTTCCTCATCTGTGAAATAAGAATAATAGTCCTCAATCTTCTTGTGGGGGACAGAGCCTGTTCACTAATGTTTGGGAAGCAATCTTAGGCTACCGTGATGTGCAGTGCAAAAGCTCAAGAGAAAATTAATGATTTTATCTCTGCAACAGAGCTTGAATAGTCGCGGTAAGTACGTCACGGACGTTGAACAACAAGATTAAAACAAAGCGTGGACTATCTGCTTATTAAGGGCCTGCCAATATGAAGGGAGTTTATTTCACACTGAGCTTTGTTTGCTGCCTAAGAAAAGGCTTTCCTCCACCAGACACGATTAATAGCATGGAATAACTCACCAAAAAGTGCTGGTTCAGGTTTACTCAGTTTGAAACTCAGTTCATGTATGATATCCTATCCTTGCGACCGCACAGACTGTATGGATGTCTCATTTTGGTATCTGCATTTTGGTCCTTTTTTGATTCCTTCTCCGTTCCAGTACCTTTATTGCGCTGTTCCCCTACCTAGTTTGTTTGCACTTGCACTTTTGGAACAATAAAGGATTGTTTTCGTTAGTTCTGTTAATTGTTGTGAAGCAGCTCAATAAAAAAGATCTGAGTATCCAAATCTCCAAGCGTCGGTATTGAACAGCAGGTGACACATAACAGCAGAGACTTAGGTGTAACCCAGAGGGTAAAAACACAGCACTTTTTTTAATAGAAAGTTCGTGAAAACGATACTTAAAAATTCAAAGAATATACTAATTGGTGAAACAAACCCAAAGTTTTAGTAAATCATGAAACTGTCATATAATTTAGATGTGTTCCATGTATGAAAGTACGAGAAAGAAGCTGTGAAAATTGTACAGCTTGCAAAAAGTTATTTTCTATTCTCTAAGTTGGAACATATGCATTTTCTGAAAGCATGGTTTTTTAGATAAGCTTCTCAAAGTTCTTGAAAATCTTTGTACCTCTGTCTTCTGGGTTTTCAAGACACTGCATTTGAAATACAGTTATTTAGCAGTAGTTAAACAGTTCCTTTGTCATTCAAAAGCTTTCTTGGCCAGGGCAGCCAGGGTTAACCAGGGTCTTTTAGAATATTGTATTGGAAGTGTCATTACTGTTAATGCACCTTGTGGTTGCTGTAGGAGAAGATCTGTCTTTTTCTACCAAACAGAAGAATCATGAGCTGCTAAAGTGACTGACGTCAAGATTTTGTAGGTGATCCTACCCTAACACTGGAAGCTTTTTGGTGGTTGTCAGTCCGGCGTTGGAGCCTAATGGAGAAGCACCTTCTGTGCATGGGTGCAGAGGCCTCGGTAGGCACAGCGTAGAAATGCCTCAGAGCAGCTGAAGAGCCCTATGTGGGCAAAGCCATTAGTATTTTCAGGAGAGCTGAGACCTTACGGCACATGGCAATGTTTTAATATTTGCATGCTCTTCTATAGCAACGCTCCCAAGAGTCAATCTGCATTTACCACATTGACTACCTCCTGACCACAGCAGCTGGAGGCAGTAGACTTCCTGATGGCAGAGAGCAGGCACTGCACCTCTCTCTAAAAACGTATCTTTTGTTATCCTCAAGTTCTGCCCACTGCAGATCTTCAGCAGAGTTTTCTTCTGTAAGCAAACACATGAAATGCCCTAAAATTTTGTACTGAATGAAGCTACTCCAAGAAATGCTCTTTCGGAAGCAGTCAGTCCTTGTCATCATCTTCCTTGTGGTTTTTGGGGGTAGTTAACCGCTTCCCTTAAGCCAAAGCCAAGCAAAATTGCTTAGTAGCATTGTAAGTGGCTTGCAGAGCTGTCCAACAGAAACACATCAAATACTTCTGCACAAATCATTAAATACTTGCAATGACTGGCATTGTGGAGCAGAGCTTCCTTTTAACCATGACGGACAAATAACAAGTTGGAAATTATGTCAGATACCTCCCGAAAGAGATGAGTTAGGTGTGCAAGGAGAGAACTGGTGGGGTTTTAGTAATCTGACCCTTGCTGGCATTGCAGCGGTTTCCGTGTGTCTCCCCAGTACAGAGCGGGAAAAAGTCCACAGTACTTAAGGCCATGCAGCAGTATAGAGGAGCAAGTTCCTCATCAAACGGGCTACCGGTTTGCTTCAGAGGAAGCAGTCACAGTGAAGCAAGGATCTGTGTGATGTAAGCTACATCTGTGCAGATGTGGTAACTGCATCTCAACCACTGTGCCACAGTTGTCCACAGCATCTCATTTGTTGTAAAGCAGTTGTCTCCTTTCTCATCCAGGGAGCACTATCTTCATACCTCCGTCTTAAGCACAGAAGGAGACAGGAGTGGATGTAAAGGATGTGGCCAAGCCTGCTCTGTAGAAATGTTGCCAAAGTAGCTCTGTTGGTCAGGATTATGGTAAAAGGTGTTTTATGTTTGACAGAAATATTCTGGCAAAAGCTCCACGTCAGTAGTTGCGCTGAAAGGTTCTGCTAACAAAAGTCTCCCCATACGTGTCGTACCTACATAGCATATTATGATGTATCACTGCAGCTGTGCTATGATAGCTTTGCGTGGGTCAGCCCTGGCCTAACCCATAGCACGAACTTGTCAAGTTGAATTCATTTTGCACCAGTCACCTCAGTTCAGACATTTTCTAGTTTTTTGCAAGCAGCAGAGTTTGCAATATTAATGCTTTTGTTTGTTTGTTTTTATTTATGTATGTTTAATGTAGGGGGGGAGAATTACAATACAGACATATAATGTGTGTGAAATATTGATGTACATACATAATTAGCACATGTGAATATATACAAATAAAAACAGATACTTATGTGTATTCTTCATTGCAGCTCCATCCAGTAGAAAACCAGGGGACCCTCTGGTTATTTCTGATATCAAGAAAGGAAGTGTTGCTCACAGGTGAGACATTCAAGCTCCCAGTAGAAACGTGTTTCCAGTGTATAGCCGGTCAGACTCAACTCAAACAGAGGGAGCATGTGAGAGACTTCTTTTATTTTGTGCGCACTAGTTACAAGTGAAGTGGCCACTGTATTAAGGGAAAATTGTTTAGAAAAGAGCATCTAAGTTCTGTGCTAGTATTCATGTCTTCTAAAATACCTTGCTTTAATGTTATTAGTATTTCATGTTAGCCTGTTTGTTTTTTCACAGAACTGGGACACTAGAACTGGGTGATAAGTTGCTTGCAATAGATAACATTCGACTGGACAATTGCTCAATGGAGGATGCTGTCCAGATCCTTCAGCACTGTGAGGACCTTGTAAAGCTAAAGATCCGCAAAGATGAAGATAATTCTGGTATTAGCTATGAGCCTATAACAAAATAAGTATATTTTCAAGTTTTTTAGAATGCAGGTTATTCTTTTGCATTTAGACTTTGGAGAAATGATTTTATTAAACGTTACTGATTTTTGCTAACGCTAGTTAAAAATGTCAAAGTAAAAAAATGTTAACGATTTATAAATTTTTTAGTTGCCTCAGTGGCTGTATTGTCTGCAAGAGCAATGCTGCAAAAGGAGTTCTTCTCTTTTCTGGAAAGGCAGTTTTCCTTCGGATGTAGCCATATAAGGTTGCTCTTTCTCTTGAAAGCATATTGAAATTTTCTCTGCTTTTAAGACTGGAATCATGGATAGCAAAGCATGGTCCATAGGCCTCAGTTCTCCAGCAGAGTGGTGAAGTGCGTGCTTAATCCATAATCATGTAAACTTGACTTCAGTATGACTGTTCACATGCTTAAAGGTAAGTAGTACTTTACATACTGTGCTGGATGGCTGATGGGGGAGCAATGTATGATCAGCCTAGTGGATGTACTGAAGTTGCCATTATTTTGCACACTTACTTATACCTATTAATATTCCTGGTTCTTCCCAATTATAGATTCCATAGAAACAAAATTTTACCTGGAGATACTAAAGCAAGTTCTTATTATGCATTCTAGTGACAAAGAAAGTCAGATAATTATAACTACCATTATTACTGCTCTTTATATTATAGTATAAAACAAAGGCATGAACTGTGGATTCTCTTGTCATAAGCGTTACACCGTCTCACGCTTGCATTCAGCAGAAGGGTACTGCCTGTTGCACCTTATTATTTAAAAAGATTAATCCAAGTGTAACTGTTGAAATGGTGGTTAGAATTGCACTAGAATGCTTTTAACTGATACAAATCTTTTCTACTTCTGAAAGCAAGCAGAAGGTATCTCCTCAGTATAATCCATACGAGGCAAAGGCGGACACACTTAGCACTGGGTTAAAATTGGCTTTCAGAAATCAGTTTTGATCCGGCAAGGCGAATGGTTATTGTGGGCGTGGATATTGTTGTTAGGCCCCCAGCAGCTAGCATTTGCTAAGTATGGTTGGGACGTCTTGGACAAAGGCTGGCCTCGCTGGCCATGGGCTGTGCAAGCAAAGGACACCTGACTGACAGTTGCTTTGTAAAACTGGAGGGGCCGTCATTGAAATGTTCATGGCAGCCCAGGATCCCTCTTCTACCTCCTTCCCACCATTTGGAGGTTCCCACCTCAGTAGTACCTCTGTGGAGAAATTACCAGGAGCCTGCAGAAGAGGGGCACAAGCAGAGCCTTGTAGAAGAGATAACAACTTCTCTCACGCTTCTAAACACTGTTGTGGGTTTTTCTCAACCCATGGGCCTCTTTCCAGGACAGCTTTTGTTTCCATTGAAGTTGATACGCATTTTCTGTTATCTCCACTGCAATGTGGATTTTAGTCTTTATCCCCGTGGAATAACATTTTTGATCTCTTAAGTACTGCACACCAGAATAGCTGGCACAGATTTTAGTCATGTGGGATTCTTATTCCCTGGAATACAAATGCATATTGCTTGTTCTACAGTTACAGTATTTATGTATCAAGTACCTCTGTATCAAGATTCTCATACAGCTACGGTGACTTATCCAGATAGGACTGAGGTCACTGAACCTACTCAAACGTAGATGGACAACTCAGGAACCTACTGAACAAGGTTCTGTATACAAATGGTTCTTTTAGCAGTTGAATAACTGCCAAAGCATGATTAAAAATGTTTAAAGCAGATTCCAGACGTTTGAAGTCTAAAATGAGTGTGTCCCCTGAAATTATAAAAAAAATTAGGAACAGTGGCAAAGCAGTAGCAAAGGTATAACAAAAAGTGCACCGCAATTAAAATCAATTTTAATTATATTTGCCAGTTATGAATACCTGACTGATTTTTCTCACAAAAAGAGCAACTGTGCTTTTTAACTTAACAGAACAAATCATTAATAAATTCACCGAGAAAAGAAAAGCCTGATGCTAACAGATGAGTAAGCGTGGAGCACTCCACAACAGTTTCTAAATTACAGAATGAGGTTAAGTTTTTAGCTTTTTAACCTCTCACAACATCCTTTTTTGAAGAGGGCAGGGAGGAGGAGTTTCTTCCTCCCTAGGTTCTCATTCCCTCTGTCTTTCAAACTCTTTCTTTTGATGTTTATTTTAATGTATTGTAAGCTGCTTCTAGCTGTTCCTTCAGCCTTCTGTTTTTCCTTCCTCCACTCTCTCTCCTACTCCTCCCTGTGCCTCACAATTGAATGTAGCTCAAAGCTGTGTTCCTCGTAGGCAAACCCGCAAGTAAAGCCAGCAGCAGAGTAATATATATAAAGTGCTGCTTCAGGCTTTGCACTTTAGTCTGTATTGATGACATCTTACTCTGAAAAGCAAGAGACCAGTAGAGAGAGCAGAGGCATTGCAGCACAGAGGATCTACTCTTATTAAATGTGGTTTCAAAGAATTGTCCACAATTATGTTACTTTGAGAAAAGAAAGAGGGAAAATCTCACAAAACATGAGACCCCAAAACATGCGATAATTTGATTGTATTCCTTCCGCAGATGGAAATAATGTTTTCAGCAGAAAGTACTGTTCTCCGTTTTTTTTCCTGACAGCTTCCCATTCTGAGGCTAATTTTATCTCCTGATTAACCTAATGGCTGCCACCTTTTTTAAAATATCAGAGTTCTTAGCTTTCATGGCAAAACTGGCTTTCATTATGAATTCAGGCTGCATGTTCTTGAATAGCAAGCCTTCCTGCTGCCTGGCAGAAACACTGAAGATAATAATGTAGCAATTTGACATTTGTTACGTTCCATCATTAATTTTGTTAACGAGAGCTACCCAGAAGAAACACATAAGGTACCGATCTCTTTTTCAGTTCATTCACTAAGATCTATAAACTTTCAACTGTAATGCGTCAGGGCTGCTGCATGATTAACATCATCTTATTCACTTGCCGTTGATAACAGAAACATCAGAATTGTGTCGACACTTAGCTGATACCAGCTATTGCGTTTTCAATTAGTCTGGTGGTTTACTTTTCATCATTCTGTTGAAGTGCTGCAACGTGTGAATGCCACAACTGTCTATGTAAATATTATCAATGTTAGATGTCAAAGGATTTGTCGTTGATCCATAATTGGTCTAAAAGGCAACCAAGAACTGCCACTCTTTCTGCTGTACAGCGGCAGCTTCCTTGCTAGCCCACTGTATGCCCATCAGTGGCTCCAGCAGGCTCTTGGGCATTTCTTGGAAACAGAATTTCTTGTCAGATAAAGCATAGTCTGTGTGAACCCTTGAACCCTATCGAGAGCCAAGACCCTGTTGATAATATCGCAAGTAGGAATACAAGGCCAACACGACATGTGAGAGACCTGGTGTTCCTTGCCGAATAAGTACTGCTAATTCTCCTTCTGTCTTTTCATTTTATATGTGTATGATTTCCTTTATTTGGATAGCAAGTAGGAAACAGGAGGGAGTAGAGGTGGCAGGAAGCTATAGACTTTAAGTTCGCTGCAAATTGAAAAGAGACAAAATAGCTTAGAAGATAGTAATGTCCCTCCAGCTCTGCTAAAGTATTATCTTCGGCATTAGAAGAAAGCAACTCTTTGAACCTTTGCTGGAGATGCAAGTTTCTTTTTTCCTTTTAAAATTGTACTAGCTGCATGAACAAAAATGGAAACATTAGATATCCTACCTTGTCTCAGGTTAGTGCAAGTAGCATTTGCTGAATGGGCATCCTAGATGTTTTCCGCACTCGTTGAGCCGTTCAAAATGACATTACACAAAGTTCTAGGAAAAGTTGCCTGCCAGGCCAGACACCCTGGCTGAGTACCAGTATCCTAAGATGGGCAAGGACCATTTGTTATTTTGATCTGAGCAGAAATCTGAAAATCTGACATTTAAAACCTTAAAATACCCCCTCAGAACTAAAAGATATTGCAGTTGGTTGCTCTCTTGCTCTGATACTTGTGAGTAATAGGTAAAGAGCATGCAGTGTATGAATACAGCAGCCTTTCTTTTTGCTACAACACCTGTTAATATATTGTTTAAGGAAAAATACATTGCATTTAGCGTTAGTCATTCATGCACTCTTCTCCATTTCTGGTGGTTGTTTGGTGAGACCACGATTTCAAAATAATACAAATGAAATCAAAACTAATGCAGTCGTTGTTTAGCTTAGTTGATAAACACAGAATTCAGGAGCTATTTTTGATTACATCTGTTATGAAAACTCAAAACTTGTCCATCAGAAACATGGAATATATTCCAGATTTTCTTAGTAAAACAGCTGTTTGTCTTATGATGACATCTGACTTTTCCCACTGTTATTTTAAATAAGTTTGTTTTTGAAACTTTTGAATTCTCCTTGGTTTTAAATGCCCTCCATTCAGTTTGAGGAAGAGAAGAACAGTTGTATTTGTACAATAGTAGTAACATGTCTCTTCTCTAATAAAATAACCTGAAGTTACATTTTAATATCTAGCTATCAAGATTTTAAACAGAAAAAAACTAAAAGGAGGGGAGTTTTGCTGTTGATTTCAATATAATCCTATTTTGGCATAGAAAGAGATTGCATGAGAGAGATTTGTTTTTTGAAAATAAACCAGCATAATATGATTAAGAAGTATATCTGAAATGTAATCCTTTGAAAATGTTGTTTGATTACTGGTCACTAGTCTGAATGCGTTATTTTTTTCATTCCTTCTTTCATAAGAAACCAATTGCATCCCCTTGGCATTTATTGCAGATGAACAGGAGAGCTCTGGAGCAATTATTTATACTGTTGAGCTCAAGCGCTATGGTGGGCCTCTTGGAATTACGATCTCTGGTACTGAAGAGCCCTTTGATCCCATCATCATTTCCAGCCTTACAAAAGGAGGATTAGCTGAAAGGTAAATTGGAAAACAAATTGTTATGCAGCGTTCTTTTTGTCAAGATAAAGATTTCTTTCATTCACATGAACATAACAATTTTCATGATTTAGCAATATATTTTTTATGTTTCTCCAAATCTGAGTTTACAGTCTTTTTTCTGTCATTTTATGATCATCGGTTGCCAAGTTCAGGAGCATGAGGGATATCTTAACAGGATGTTCTTAAACAAGTTGTACCAAACAGAGCAAAGGATTGTGATCACTTGGTATGATCCATCCTGAAAGCCATATTAGTGAAACAGCTGGTTACTGGCTCATGTTGCCATTGTCTGTTCTGTTGCAAGACTTCTAGAAACATTGCATTTGTTTCAGAATTTATTGAGCTGTCTGAGATTACACTTAAACAGATGGGCAGCAATGAATATCATCCGTAGGTGATTAACTCAACTACTGCAGTAAAGCAGAAATCTGCATTTCCATGCCTCAGCTCTGCTATTGTCACTGCAACAAAGGTGACTTGCTTTAAGCATCTCTAACACTAGAAGTACTCTAACACAGCTGTAAATGCAAAATGAAATGAAGAAAGGGACACTTTCCTGTGTCTAAATATGCAAAGAAACTGCCTTTGTTGCTTTTTATGCTCCTCTTTTCACTCTTTTACTTCTCTCTTGCTGTAGAACTGGGGCAATTCACATAGGAGACAGAATCCTAGCAATAAATAGCAGCAGCCTGAAAGGAAAACCTTTGAGTGAAGCCATTCATTTATTACAGATGGCAGGAGAAACTGTCACCTTGAAAATCAAGAAGCAGACAGATGGTGAGTATAGCCCAAGTAGCATGAGTGCTCTTTAATGAGTGTGTTTCTACACAGTAACAAGCATTTAGGCCATCCCTGGAAAAAATGTCATGTAAGTAGTGAAAAGCACATTCTTCGAACTGTACTAAAGCTATGACTACCTCCTCCCTTCTTTTTTATAATCCTATTCAGCTACCAGTCCCAAGAAGTTTTCTGTCCCCGGTCACATAAGTGAACTGAGCGATGCTGAAGATGAGACCTCTACTGCCCAGAAATCTGGCAAACTCTCAGACATCTATTCCACTACAGTCCCAAGCGTTGACAGCGCAGTAGAGTCGTGGGATGGCTCTGGTATTGATACCAGCTTTGGAAGTCAAGGTACTATCAAGAACGTAACCAGCGTTTAAAGCAGAAATTACCATGGTTGACCTTTATGGTTGACCTTTATGGTTGACCTTCCTTTGCCTTAGAGAGAACCTTATCTGTACCAACTTTAAACTGTATGACATGCTGGTGTCTCATTATGACCACGCACTTTGCCAGGCAGCATAATTCCTTACACTTGGCTGGCCTCAGATTCATTTTTTATGACAATGTGATGTGTTTTGAAGCATTTATCAGTACATTACAGGCGTTTGCTAGCTTTGCTGACATCTGAATAGCCCAGTCCATAGCTCATCCACAACTAAATGAGTTTATCCTTCAAATATAGATTAATGCAAGGCAGAGAACACACTGACGATGTTCATGAATTTGAACATTTGATGGCCACTTGCTGTAATTTTTAACTGACAGCAGAAAAAATTTATTTTAAACTGCTGAAGAGGGAACATTATACATTACTTATGATTTGTTAATCTTTTGCTTCTTCCTCATTCCTGTGACATGAATGTCTAACTCTCAGCCCTCAGAAGCCATCCTTCTGTTTACAGAGATGATTTTAATTAACACTAACTTTTATACTTCTGTTTGACTCTTACTTAATAGGATTTTCAAATAATTTCATTGTAGTTCATATGGGAGAAGACAGATTTATTTAGACAGTGGAGGACACAGACATCTTGTAATATTCTAGATAACAAGAAAAGTAGCTTCCAAACAGCTTAAGTGTTTTATTTAACCCTCTTTAAAATGGTTATTTCCATAGTAATACAGGTGTGTCCAGTACCTTGCAGATGTTTGAATAGACAGATCCTTGCCTCGGATAATTTTTTCTTGCTCACTGTGGTTTCGTGTGTTCTTTCAGCGCTATCTTTATCTTTCCATTTCTGTCCGTTGCCTTCCAGGAGCATGGGCTCATGGTGGGCTGAGTTGTACCCTCACAACAGAGCTGAAACAACAGAGCCCTGCCCAGCAGGTGCCCATATAGACTGAAGTTCTGTGCTGATTATGTTCATGGCTTTTCTTTAATGTGTCCATTCAGTGAAACACTGGCACTTTCTTCTGGAAATCCTTTGATACCTGCTGAGCTCCATGAAATCAGAAAGTAGCTGGTGTCACTGCTAACAGCCAGCTTTTGAAGTTGTTTAATTTTCAAATATTTCTTACGCTTACTGCTTATACTTTGGTACCAACTTTCCTTTAAACAAGACAGTCTCAATACATTTAGTTATAACTCCCTTTTTCTACATTTTACTTCTACCTTACTGCTACATAATACATTTCCTTTGCTAGTTGATGTACTGAGTTAAACTCACCCTGTAATTTGTATTTCATTGGAGTTACAGTTGGGATGAATTTGTCCCCTTTTCTGTTCTTACCCATTTTGGTCAGCTGATCAAATAAATCATGTTAAGATTTCCTTATGATTTTTAGAAGTAAAGGAGGAGTACTGCTGAGAAAGTACCAGAATAATAGTTCTGTTTCCTGTGTGAATCGATGGTGTTTGGACTAAGTCTGTTCCGCTGTGGAAATGGTTGAGGCCCAGATTGCTTTCCTAAATCCTAACTCTATGAACAAACTACCAAACTAAACCAATATCTATCTCAAAAGAGGTCTTCTTTTAAATCCCTTTAAAAAAATCAGCCCAGACTTGGCTGGGTACATGCCACTTCTGTTAAACAGCCTGAGTGTAATCAAATTTGTGCCTTATCTCTTGCCGTGGTACTAACGTGACCCACATTTCTATTAAAGTTCGTTCTGTCTTGACCTGTCAAGTCGAGTTTGGCTTCTCTCCATACCTTTCTTGGCATAAGCACAGGCTAAGCAAATTGAGGAGTATGGGGAATGCTTCTGGAGCACCAGATAATGCTTTATCCTATTAGTTACTGATTTAATGCTGGTGAGCAGTATTTTCTCTCCCACTTGAATTACCACCACATTTTGCACCTGTGTCTAATGTGGCTGCCTTACTCACCCGGAGCCCTCTCACACAGCATTCGTGTTTTCACAACCAAAACCCTTCCTAGAACTTGTGAGTTAGTATCTGCTGGTTAGCTGGGGAAAAGCACGTAACTCTCTAGTTACATGGGATTTGCGGGAGATAGATAGGTTTCGACTGATTTATGGAAGTGAACTGGCCTCATTAGAGAGGTGACAGTAGAGATATTTGTTAGTCATCAGCAAAATAGAGCTTCCTAATCCAACATGCACATCAGGGAACTCCACCTACAGAGACTAGAAAAGGAATATGTCAAGATCAGACAAATGTACAGCAGCTCCACAGCACTGGGTTTTGCTCACCAGAATTCCCCAGCGTCAAGCTGTAACAAGTCAATCCATATGTTCTTCTTCGTACATCACTTGGAAACCAGGCTGTGTCAGGCTCTTAGCTGGAATCCAAATTACACTTAATTAAGTATAAGAAGTACTAGTGAACTAATATCAAGGTTGCTTGTATGATAAAAGCTCCCAGAACTAAATGCTTCAGCTCTCAAGGCTGCCTGATGCCGCTTACACAGCACTGAAGCATTTGGAAATGCCTGACAGAGAAATCACTTTCCGCTAGGTGAACTTTCCAAGGATGTACGCTGGTCCTAGGCACGTGTGCTTATCATGAGCCAGGCCTTTCCTCATCTCTTAGAGCCCGAGACAAAAAGCCAGGGTTTGCAGTTGCTCTGCTAAGAGCAAGTCCCCCTTGCCCAAAGGGGCCCAGTACGTGGATTCCCGTGTTGGCCTTTTGCAGGGCAGAGCAGCCATGCAGAGCAGCGCAGGGCTGTGGTTGCACAGTCTTCACCTGTACGGATGAGTCCTGGCCTCGATGTTGCTGAGACAGCCGCCCTCCTTCCTGCTGTGGGATTAATCCAGTTAACGCTCGTTCAGGAGTCTCTGCACCGTGCTGACTTTTGAATCTCAGTAGCCATAATATGGATAACTAGTATTGTGTACAATCAGAGCAGGAACTGGCTCCTTGTGCCACACACCTCCCACATATCCTATCGGAGCCTGTTCTCGGGAGCCCAGTGGAGCTGCTGCGCTGGTCAGAGACCTTGGCTACACCTGCGCATCTGCTGTCAGCGTTAAATTACAGCTCTGAAGGGTGAGGGTCCTCATCACAGATTCGTTACATTTGTTGGAAAAGATCACTTGACCATTGACAAAATACTTCATGTGTGTATGCTGCGGTGTCCCACCTATGTTAAGCGGTCAGAGTGATGCTCATGCATGTCAGTGGTACGCTAACTTGCATTGTTTATAAAGCGCTCGGTGCTTCTGAAATGAAAACTGCATTATGAATGCCAGCAATCTCGAAAAAGCAGATATAACTTAGACTATTTCTGGCACTGGCATTTTAAACCGAATCTCAATGATCGAATTATTTTAAAAAGTTAACCTAAGCTGTTTAGTTAGGACTTTTTATTATCTGATTGTAACAAGCAGGTTTCAATCATATTTATAAAAGTACAGTGATAGCTCTTCTTGTTAGAATCAACATTGTATGCTGTTACTTCGGTCAAGGGACGAAACACGTTAGTCTGATAATGTGCCAGGACACGTTGTGGTGCTGTTGTTTCATTTCCCTTACCAAGGAGAGGATGCTCTATGCGGCTAGATTTCGTTTGTGCGACAGTGCACCTCGGACATGGTTTCTTACAGAAAACTGGTCACATTTTTGTTGCAGTTAGTTAGAAAAAAGTATTGAGACATTAAGCAGACACAGTTCTGAAATGTAGAAAAGTTGTTGAGTGCAAGGATCACAGAGTGTCTCCCTCAGATATCCACTTGAATAGAGCGATTGAGTAAACTTTGGATACAAAGGACGCTCACCCCCATTTCCTGGCCTTTTTAACGGCCTAATGCTTGAACTCCACTTGGCTACGATACAGCTGAGCTTCCTGTATATTCAGTGCTTGCAACCATCAAGAAATGCCACGAGGGTGCAGTTGATAGCCCAAAAACAGAATATTTTTTATTAGAAGTGTTACATTTAGACATGTAAAGTGCAGGGAGCTATCACTCTTTCAAACCGTCTCTGCAGCACACCTCAGGCTTCAAGAAGAGACACTCACTTGGCACGGCAGGACGCTGAGCTCCCTGCAGACGCCCTTTGCATAATCTCTGTGTTAAGCTTTTGCATGATTGAGGCCAGCTATTCTGATATTCTTGTTCCTGACCTAGATCTAGATGGCTGTATCACTGCAAAGTCGTTTTACTTTAGCTGTTAGATGACACTAGTTTTTAGCTGCGCTGCTTCCAAATTTGCATCAGTGACCAAGAGGCAGAAAAAACTTTGTTGTTAGTCAACTAAAAAGTCAAATTATTTTTAATGCACTGTTGAAAGCTCTCTTTTAATAGGTCTGAAGCACATTTTCCTTAATAGGTTATGTTTAATTTTGGACATACTAATTTCAACATACATGATTTATTCACGAATATTCAATGTTTGATGTCAAATTGGAAGAAGAAAACTCTAAAAATGTCAAGCAGGAGCAGCTGAGATACAAAGCATAGGAAAACTGTGTTGGAGATATTCAAGATTTGATTTTTCAAGTGACTTTCACGGGAGCAGCTCTCAGAACACAGCTAATTTAGGGCATAATTTAGGTCATTTATTCTTCTGAAGATCTGACTGCTTCTGCAAAAAAAAAGTAGCAATTGTGAATCAGTATGCAAGTTCTAGAGAATCCAGCTCTGAAGATGTGACTTTCTGTCATTACAACACATACAGTGCTGTAAATATATAATTCATCTTTTTAGGAACCAGCTTTCAGGCTTCAGGATACAACTTCAACACCTATGAATGGAGGAGTCCTAAACAGAGGGGCAGTTTGTCCCCTCCAAGTAGACCACGAAACCACCCATTTCATGACACAGGTTTGAGCGATGATGAATGGGACCGATCCACAGCAAGTGGGTGAGTTTATGTATAAGTTTCCATTTTCTGATTTGCAGCTGCAGCTATGTTTCAGAAGTGAACACTTGCTGTCTGGAATGAAATTACATTTTTCTGAGCCAGCTGTAACAGCTCTTCCTTTAAATATGAGATATAGCATTTATAGTTCATGAAACTTATTAGGGTAGGTTAGTGACATTTATGGAAGCTTATGATGCCAAAAGCAAAACGTTTATTTATTTGAGTTACTTCAGAGAAAAAAACATAGCATTTCTCTCTTCAGAATAAACCAAAAAAAATTGGAACTTTCCCCTGGATAAGCTTCAAAAAAAAATTTGCTCTATTTTCCACCCCCAAAACATAACCCTACAAATAAAGAGGCCAAAGATAGCTTGTGCATTCATCTCTCATCTTCATTTTGGCTTGGGCAAGGAAGCAGAATTTCCAATGTTCTTCCATTTATGTTCAAAAATTCTGCAGTGATTCTGTTGCAGAGCAAAGCAAGCCAGGTAGCAATGTCTTGTCCAAAGCTATACTAGTTTGCCATACACTCCTCTTTTGAGAAGTAAATCTCCTTTTCCATGAATTTATCTGCAGGCAAAAGTAGGAACTTACTGAGGGGAAAATACTTGGAGATGTTGAAAGATCCAAAAAGCCAAAAATCCTTATTGTAAGGATCATCCAACAGTGGAACAGCTGTAGAGACCTGGGTAGCTCCTGGCAAAGAACAGTTCTTCCTCAGCTGTGGGAAGATAGGCATCACGTTTTAAAAGATTTCAGTGCTTTTTGTACCTGTCCTCAGAGCTTCCAGGCATGCATGTGCTGCGTTAGAACCAAAGTTTCTTGATCTAATGGCCCACTGAGCCTGAAATCTCAGTCTGTGACAAATTCAAGTTTAATACTGAAGAAAACCTTTCTGGTTCCTGTATAAATATACTGGACAGGTGTATCTATGAAGTCTGGTCTGTTGCGTTGGAAATGCAATCAGGTAAGGGTTTAGATGGCACTGCTGCTTTTCAGAAGCTAATTAACAAATCCTCTGATCCACCAGATTGCCCAGTGGTGTTTTTTTCAGCAGACAAGTCTGGCAAGATGTTAGCTGAGATCTGGGCAAGTGTCTGAGCTCAGTCCTTATCCGGCTCCTTTGGCCCTTACTGAGCAGAAGCATGCTAAAAGATTTCACAAGCTAAAGTGGACAGTATTTAGTAAAGGAAATGATTATAGTTTTCCTCATACTTCCTGTTCTTAATAAGTTAATATCTTTAATTTAACAGCAGTATTTTTATCCACACTTCAAGCCTATATTTAGCTTCTCAAAAAAGATGCAGCCGTAGATTCCAAAACACCAACTCTTTTGGAGCTACGTAAGCTGTAGGCTAAAAAAGATGATTAGCAATGAACTAGGAAGCTGAATGACAAAAGCCAGAATTTCCTGAAAATAAAAAGCATGTGTTCTACTACCATTTTAAAGCAGAATTCAGTAGAAAGTATGCCCATTAAAGAGTTTTGTTCTACTTCCCAATGTGGTTACACCTTAGATGTACAGCATAAATGAAAATGATGTTTATTTGAACACAGTATCTGTAAAATGGATTATGCCAAGCACAACTGCTGGTGCTCCTATACCAAGTGCTGGAGTATGTGAGAAGGGCATGTCTGCTCTTCCAGCCTGTCAGAGGGATCTCCTGAGAACTGTCTCTTCTCTGCCTCCAGCTAAGCATCCTGTCTTCTTCTCTAGCACTAAAAAGTAGTTTTTTCTTACCTTTATTTTGTGTAGCACAGCTTCTAAGAGTGTGTGGCAACAGAAAGAGACTGAAACACTGGGAGAGAATCAAGAAAACCATTCAAAGCAAACTTCCGTAGAAAGATCAGGAGGAGAGAGCATCAGGAGCGTCAAGAAAGAGGGCAAGCAGTGGAAAGGTGCCTCTGGCGGGCAAAGGAAAGGTGGGGGACAGCTGGAAGAGTGGAATACTTCCAGGTAGGCCAACTAAGAGTGCACAGGAGCGACATCCAGCTGGGATGGGCTGGGGAGGGGGGAAGGAGACAAAGGAAAAAACAGTTGAAATGAGAAAAAGGAGAAAAACAGGGTACAGAAAATGCATCACTAACATGCCAGTGAGTGACAATGAAATTTCAATTGCCAAGTCAAGTATTTGGTTGCTTCAAGAATTTAACTCAAATTTGCCCAATAGTTTCAAAAGGAGCTAGAAGCTACTTTTTTTCAAGGCCACGCTCTCATAGTAGCATAAGATGATATAATTATCCATGGACCATAAGGTCCCATTTTGTAGCCAAAGGCTAGCCACTCTCATCTGGCTAAAGGGATTTGAGCCATCCTTTCTACCTGCCAAAGGTACACCCTAGCTGAAAGACTGTGCAGCTGCAAACCCAAAACCTTCCTGCTGTGTATCAGTGAAACCAGAGAGCTTAAACCACTCTGTAGCCTGGTGTTTACCTACCACTGTCAAGCAGGACAAGTGGGTTCTGGTTCCTGCTCCAGGGAAAATTTTTGCCTGTTAAAACATTACCACCAGGAAAGAATGAGTCTGCCAGATCCTAGAGGATACTATAGCCTCCTGGTGAAAAAAAAAGAAATTTGAGTCTCTCATACATCAATAAGAACAAGATCATAGGCACTTGTATCTCCAAATCTGCCCCCTACCTCTCCTTTAGCAGTTTTGTGAATCTAAATTTCTGATGGCTTTTTCAATGAGCACAAGAAAACCAAATATATTCACTATAGGTCGAACAGAATATTTCACATGACGCAAAATTAATCTTTCAGTTATTGTTTCAGGAAAAAAACCTGTAGATGAGAAAGGATTTTGGATTTTTTTTTCTGATACAGTAGCTCAGCTACAAATTGTTTTATTGATGTGACTGTAATGGAGATGCGAAAGTCAAGCATTTCACACACCAAGAGACAAGATTCAGCGAAAAGGGGAAAGAAGAGGTGAGAGCAGAGAGAGGAATTGCTCCAGCTATAAAGAGGTCGAGACTTGCAGGCATCACGATTTCAGATTTCATAGGAGTCAGAGAAGGAACGGACCTCTTATCCTAGGAAATCCAGTCTTTGCTGTCACAGACAGTTGCCTCAAATAATCTTGTTCATTAACTCAATCCCCGTTTTATGTTATATTTTAATATTATCATATAGTATATAGAAAGGTATTGAATTAGATAAATTTGTCTATGTTCAACATTGGCTCTTAAAAAAACTACTTCAGTTTACTGAAAGAGCTAATTTCAGAAGTCAAGGATCCTTCTAAAATCCTGTTTTAAATACTTTCTTATCTTGCCTGGGAGGAATTGCATCTGTGTTCTGAGTAGGTATTCTCACCATTGCTCTATATATTGCGATATCTTAGAAGAGACACGGATGCTAGATGGAGAATCATTGCAAAAAGAGATTGAAATGGCTGGCCGTTGTCTGCTTGACTGACCGTAACTGTAAGAAAGCATCTCTGAGGAAAAGTATTGTGTGTGTCCTCCGTCGGGCTGGGCAATTCCCCTATTTAAAAGCTGTTATGTTAACAGTGTTACATTCATGCTTTTCTTAGTAGTACATCGTTTGTCAAGCAAGGCCACAGATGCTTCCATAATGGTGTTTACTCTGTCATTATGCTGTTAAGCGCCACTAGCTGCAATCTGTGGGCAGCTGCTCCAATGCAACAGCTTGCTGCCACCAAAAGGGCCAATTCTCATTCTTTCCTTGCCTCATCCTTCCCCTTTGCCTTCCACGTGATCAGCCCCGTCCCTTGCAGCAGCTCTGATGCTTGTGTGAACCTTCATTGAGCTGATTCCCCCTGCTAAGAGAGCAAAAAATTCCTGCTCCCTGCCTACATACACTGTGATGGTGTCATTTTGGGTTGTGTTTCAGCAGCCCATAATTGGCATTTTTTATCACACCTCTCTTGCTGGGCATCTTTCCTAGGCCTCACTGTCACTAACATTTTGTTCAAGAGTGCTAATAATAAGGCTTCAATGCTTTTATGAAATATCAGGCACCTAAGTCTACATGCAGGAGAGTGTCATCCCCAAAAGTTTCTCTGTATTTGTGCATAAAGTGACTGGAACGGTTTATACGATGGAAGTCAGCTGGAGTTAAATTAATAATGATAAATGCAACTTAGACTAAAGGAGTGACCTAAAAGTACCAGGATCCCTCTTTGGCATACACAAATTTGCAAGATGCTTCTTGCAGAAACGAGGGCTCTTTTCATATTCCCCAGGAGAAGTCCGTGAGGTTGAAAGGTGTAATTACAAATAATTCATTGCACGGAGCAGCTCTGCACATTGCTACTAGTTGGTTTGTTAATTTTCATAGAGAGGTCCCAGTTTTAATCCAGTAAGAAATGTATATTAGATTGTTCTTGGAATCCATTTACCTCCGCACGGAATAAGACACCGCTCAGAATCCTGCCAGCTGCTAGCGACGGCCGGTTTCTGAGAAGACCTGTCTGCCGCGCGCTCTGCATGTCCATCCAGCCTCCCCGGCCAGCGACTCTCCCACCAACCTACCGTAATGTGCTGTCGTTCAAGTTGCAATCTCTGGCCAGGCACGTGTGTAAATTTTATCTTTCACGGAAAAAAAAAAAATCCATCTCTTTTAACCTCTCACTGTAAATCTAGCTTTGCAGGTACCCATGATAACACCGAGGCTGACCAGGAGGAAAATTTCTGGTCTCAGGCTCTGGAGGATTTAGAGACCTGTGGCCAGTCAGGAATTCTGAGGGAACTAGAGGTAGAACAATCTTAACCTTTCTTTCCAATTATAGAGAAATACAATGGTTTTGGTTTGTTTTACATTCATTTTATTTTCTCCTTTTTTTCTTTTAATTTGCACTAATCACACCAATTCATTTAAAAGCTTTAACCCCTCTCCACAGGACAAGGCTGACAGGCGTCTGTGTTTGAGAAACATGACTCTCTTGGTACCTACCCTTTACGTTTATATTTTCGCTTGTGCAGCTGCCTCCCCTGCCCCTAACCAGAGCTATTTTCTTTTGTACAATGTAGCTGAAACTATGTAAACTTGTTCCCCCCAGAGCTTCTGACTTGCAGCTTCTGCCGTGCATACCGTTGATGCTGTCTGCACAGGCAGCAAATGGCGCAGAACTTTTTAAGCGGGTGTAGTTTTCCTGCAGCAATGCATTTCATTTTCTTACAGCCGCTTTATGCAGCTTTTCTTAGCATGTTAGAGGTTGTCTCTTACACGGAAACTTAATTTGATTAAGATGAACATAAAAGAAAATCATCTTTTCAGAAAGTTTAACTATAATCTTACCACTCAGCAAAAAAGATGCCAATGTGAAAAACGTTCGTTATATAGCAGTTTCTTCGCTATGCAACAAATTTTCGCATTTTGTCCTGAAGTTAATTGCAGATTTAACCACGCTTCATGTTAGATCATGGTGGGGAGAAGGGAACAGAGTAGCTAAGAGACTTTTATTTTTTCTAATCAGGTTTTCTCTAAGTTCTTTAATCATCACAATTAAGACTGTACTGACGCTTAAAGTTGTGAAATAGAAGGTCCTAAAAATATTTTCTTTTATGTTCTTTTAAATTCCTGGAGCTGCAAAACTGGCAGAATCTCATTTTCATTTTTATGTTATATAAAGTCCTTTAGCAGCCAGGAGGAATGTGAATGGCATAACTGGGTGAAATTTTTTCAGTTCAAATTAATTGTACATCCTCAGATTTATGGCTTCTGTATTGCATGTGTGGGTAGCAAAATGTGATTCTTGTGTATTTGTTATTGCAAACCACAGAAATGTAGGAGAAAAATTTGATGTTTGGTTTGCTTAATTCCAAAGTTAGATATGGCAAGGTACTGCAGGCTTCCCCTTGCAGTTTTCATTATTCAGAGCACAATAAAAGGATGTGGACAGAGATAATTCAGGGTGACCAAAATTCAGTTACTTTGACATGTTGAATTTTCCTCAGCTTTTTGTAGAAGTGAAATTCAGGATTGTAGATGCTATATCATTTATAGCATCACCTTGTAGCACGAACCACAACTCTGAAAAGAAAGCAAGACTCTCATTCGGTGTGACAGGGTGCCGAGAATGGCGATGCCTCTATTTTGTGAAGTACCATTGCGTAGTTGAGGACTGTTTCTCATTTTTCATTTCAAGGTTTTCAGACAAACAGCAGAGAAAACTGTTGTTTGCCAAGTCCTCCTGCTGCTCCTGCTCCATCAGACAGTACTATCAGTCTTTCCTGAGCACAAGAGAAACTCTTAAAGCTGCAATATTTTATCTCATAATGAAAGTAGTGCTGGAGCTGGGAGAGAGAAGAGTGACTTAGACACACACGCATGGTCATCCGAATCAGAAGCAAATACTACTTTGCCCTTTTTTGCCCCTAATTTTTCCTCCTTCAGTTCTCATTTTCAAGGACGTTGCCTGTGCCTATCCCAGTCAGAGTTCAAGTTATGGCCTTTTGGCTTGTCCATTGATACCAGGGAGAATAAACAGGAAATTCCCTTCCTCAGTGTCCCCTGCCCTGGCAGTGGCAGCAGTCCGTATCGCTGCACAGTGACTGAACCAAAGTGCATTTGCTCACATTCCCCAGGGCCGAAATTCTTTGCAGCGCAGGCGTCTCTGTCCCGTGTGCGGATGTTTTTTGCGTCAGTCCGTTCGACCCACTGGATTAAATGACTTGTCATTTTCTTACAAGTTTTCACCCTCCGTGGCTTCTCTCATAGAACTGAAAAGGTTTGTTGTTACGGAGACTAACGCTAGCGGTGAGACAGGGTTTATGTCTCTGAAGTATTGGCAGGGCTAGCTAAGGCGGGTAGTCGTGCAACAGGAGTGTTATGCAGAGTTTCTTGTCAGGCAACGTGACTCTCTGCACTGCGTTTTCTCGTGACCTGTGAAGGTATCCGGGCACGGTCTCGGCCAGCGCTCACTCTGCCTTCACGTCCTGCTGACTCACGTTTTTTCACCTTGAACGTTCACTCTGTATTGTAAATGCCTTCACATAGATCCAATTCCAACAAACGCACATACGCCGCACACGGTTTAGATGTCACTTCATTTACATGGAAAATATTCTCAAAAGAAGCAGTTATACTAAATGCTCTTCAGTCTGCCAGGGGACTAGCTTACCAAGCATAGCTGCTTTAGGGCTCAGTATTTTAGCCGAAAATGCCGTTTGAAAACTTTTGCCCATAGGATTTTTGCTGTTGTGTTTTGTTGTGGTTCTTTATTTTATAGTGATTTGCGAGCAGATTGAACATCTGTGCTCTTGCCTTTTGCTGTGCCCTGAGTGATTGTTTTAACAGAGAAGTTTTTGTTACTGCTGTACATTAACCACTTACTTAACCCATGTCCTATGTTAAAAAATTAACCTGTTCATTAATGCTCTAGGCCACAATTATGTCAGGAAGTACAATGAGTTTGAATCATGAAAACCCACAGCCTCGTAGCCAGCTGGGAAGACAAGCCAGCTTCCAGGAAAGAAGTACTGTAAGGCCACATTACAGTCAAGCTACCCGTAGCAACACATTGCCATCAGATGTGGGGAGAAAGTCCATGGTTCTGAGAAAAATTAAGCAAGAAATGAAAGAAATCATGTCACCAACTCCTGTGGAGTTACACAAGGTCCGTATTTTTTCTTCTGACAGTATTGAAATAATATAATATATGCCGCATGGGGAATCTAATTATATGGCAGTACAGTAAGTACTTTTTATAATGACCCCAAAGATGTAATTTTGGGGCTGTGTGTATTAGTTCTTACAAACACATTAATGATATATTCTTATGGGGGAAACAAACTGAATAAGATATATCCTCATCTCCTATTTTCTTTTACCAGAAAACCTCAAAAGGGAATGCTCCTTTTGCAAGGAGGATCCACTGGTAATTTGAGTTGACAATAGCAATAACTCTTCTCTGCCAAATGTGTTCATTAAGAAAGCAAAGTTTAATTTCTAGAAAATACATTTCTTTAGGAAATTACTCAGGAGGGTTGGTGGCTCCCACTGGTCCTTTTTCAAATTAACACTCATTTTGAATCAAATACATGATACTTGTATGTACATAATATAGAATGTTACTTCAGATTAGCTATTGCTTCTCTTCTAACTCCTTTGCTCTAAATAGGATAAATAACTTTCAGTCTACACAACTTTTCGTTGCTTTAGACTTTGTTGGAGTCACCTGGTAATTTGAAGGTGGCTGTACACCAAAAGGCAGTTACTGAATGGTATTTCTACATATGCACAGCATAGGCCACATCCGTTTAAGTCTTTAGTCCAGTGAGGCCATAATGGCAACCAGTTTCCAAAACTTTGAAGAACATGATAATGCTGTTCTCTGTGATGGGAATGAACATCCCATTTGCTGCACCCACTTTTCATCTTAAAGGTTTGGGATCTTCCTTTCCATTGGGATACAGCTAAGACAAAGCCAGAAGCTTGGAGAAATTTCCTTTAAGAGATGAAAAGTCATCATTCTCAAGGGAATTGGTTTACTTTTTAATCTCTGTAGGTTTGATTCAGTTTAGCTCATGCGTTGAAACTTAAGGCCTTACTGAGTATGTGCTAAATGAATGTTCCTAGAAGACACTGGGGAGTGGATTTTCCATATGGAAAATGAATTAATTGCCAGTTTAAACAATCAAGAGGATATGTCACAATCCTGGTTTAAGCTATTTGTATGTCCAGCTTGATGTGAAGTGATTAATGGAGTTGGTTACTGTGCTCTTTTTTCCTGAGTAGCAAGTAAATGTGAGATATACAATGAAACTATGCTGGTAGGCATTTCATGGTGTGCTCACATTCAGCAAAGGCACCGTTTTCTCCTGTGGAATATAAAACCTATCTTTCAGAATGGTTGTTCAAACAAACTCCTTGCTGGAAAGGAAGAATGAGATTTGTATTAATGACTATTCTATTCTAGATGCTAGTTCTTAGAGTCTTGGGTAGTAAAAAATAGCCTGTCCTTGAGCTTTCTCTCTCTTTGGTTGCCATTTTGTTTTATGATTGCCATGACCTTCTGTTTTAGTAGTTTTCACTGCTTATTCAGACAACATATCCACGTTCCTGCTATCTGCTGAAGTGATGCTGAGTTTCTTTGTACTGTCTGCTTTGTCATCAAGAGTCATTTTCTTCTCTAAAAATCTAAAAGTCGAGCCTGCACCATATTTTCCAATTCTTACAGTCTTTTGAGAAAAATAGAAGACCAGTGACTGGATCTTACAGTCAGATCCAGCACAGTGTGCTTGAATCTCTGTAGTGATACACGCAGGATGAAGGCCTTAACTCAAATATCTTGTGTTGTTTTTTTATTCCTGCCCGTCTTGCTAAATTCTTATTTGTTGGTTTTCTTACTGCTTCTTGTGTAGCAACGTATCTGTTACTTTTCCCCCTTAATTTTTGCCATTAGACTGTTTCTCATGGACAGCTTATCCAGTCATAGTTTTCCAAAACAGCTGCAGTTCCATGAGTGTGACTTCACTTCACCATCTGAGAAAAGCCTGGATTTAAGTGTTCTCCGTAACAGATCTTGCTGGCAAATGTGCTCTGCCTTCTGCAGGCAGATGCCTGAATCAGCTGGACCACAGACATCAGGACATCTAATTAAATAATACCTGTTTTGGAAAACTGTGATGGTATAAGCGCTCCTTGAAATGCAAGCTAACACACAACTTGCCTGTGACTTACTTCAGCAAGGCATTTAAGCATGTCCTTAACTTTAAACTGCTGAGCATTCCCAGTGTCTTCAGTAGGACTGTACCTGCGCGTATGTACTTGGTCAATGGGATGAGTCTGAATGCTTGGTAAATCAGGATCTATGCACCCTCTGGATCACAGTTTGTACATTAGTTTAATTACAGCAAGATGGACCAACAGGAGGAGATGTTCCACTGGTTTTTCATAATCTGGTTATAAGAGAAAAAGGGTATACGATTCTATTGAAGAAAGAGCCACACGTTTGAAAAAGAAATGCATTAATAACTTGTCCAAGTATACAAGAAATGAGATACACAGAGAATGAGATTGGATAAAACTACTGAGGCCATAACCACAAATGAGTAAGTCCAAGGGACCAGCGTGCTGAGCACATTTTCTTACTAGCTTGTCCTTCCCCGATGTGCATCTCTCAGAAAGGGCGTAACACAGCCCGGGGCGTTATTTTGCTTAATGCTATAAACTTTGCAGTAAGTTACCCTGTGTTCCTCACTGCTATTTTTTACTTTACTGCACTACTTTCATCAAATATTTACTTCAACCTTTTTTGTCCTGAGGAAGGTAGGATTGATATCGTAACGGTGTCAAATAAATGTTTTAAAACTTTTGTTCTAGGTAGTTTAATAAGTAACATTTAATTTAGCTGGATAGCATATTGCTACATCAGTACCTGAATTTAATTAATGCCTTTAATTGACTTGCTCTACCACGGTAAACATATGGATTAATATTTTTCTAAAAATCATAGGGGACCATTTTTCAAATGTTTCATATAGCAAGCATTCCCGTGAGAGCAAAAATATGCACTATGCATTAGATAATTTTTCAACATTTTTATTGCAAGTAGTCATTAACCTAAAATTACAGTTGGTTAAAATACCTGAATAGCTGATCTATGCAAGATGTATGAGTTTAAATTAAGCATTTTCTCATCTGTTTGAGACAGCAGAAAGCCATAGAAACAGACTCAAAACTCGTAAGCTTCCATTTAATATTTGTGAATATTTAATTGCTTATGAAATATGAATTAGATTTTAATTTCAGCTTTTGTTCCTTTTAGTCTCCTGATGCAAATTTTAAAGTCTTGACAAATCTTCTACAAGCTAGTATTGAGATCAAAACTTCCAAACACTTATCATCAGAAATACCAATAAAACATAGCAGGATTTAGGTGTTAACATGAATTACCTACAATCTCATACCCTTCAGATAGATAGGCTGTTTTAGCAGCAAGGGAATATGAGAAACCTGTGTGAACAGGCTTTGCCCATACCCATTATGCAATAAAAAGCAGGGTATTTCTGAGAGCAGGGGTTTTTTTCTCTTAGGTTCCCTTTTAAGAATAACTGCTGCCATAAAAAGAGATAGCCCCATCTAAAAAATGTAACAGCAGTAGTAAATCACAGCTTCATTGCTTAAATTAATGAATATCAGTTTCTTTAATTTCCAAGTTCTTCTTAAATAAATCAGAAGTCAAGAGAGGATAGCTTTAAAGGGAAACAGGTTTTAAAAATCTCTTATGATCTGTGGATCTTAAGAGACACAAGAAAGAGAATGTAATTAACAATACTTAGAAGTTCTGGTTGCCAGATTAGTGACTGGTTCCCTTCCAGAACGCCCAGTCCATACCAGTGCGAAAAGTCTTATTTGGATGAGTGGGAGGGAGGGCCCTACAAGACTTTGGATGCTCACTCTCAAGTTATGCTTCCCGCCTTGCCTCTGCTCCTGCTCTCCTGCAAGTGTCGTTCCTCACTGCTACAGCCAAATGCCACTCCGTGTCCCTTATCACCTGCAGCACACCGTTTTTTGACTCACAAGCTGGACATGTGTTTCCCCCAGCCATGATCATAGATGAGGTGGGCCCCTGCGCTGACGAGGAATGACGCTTCCTGTAGATCTGTAGGACAGAATGTATGTATTTTGTTTGCTAATGCACCACTTCATAGAAGTAGGGAAAAAGCAACACTGTCCTGAAATATACACACATGGGGCATACAGAATCAGTCTCCACTTTAGCTTGGCTTTGATGAGGTCTTGACTGTAACAGAGTGAGTGTCCTGTTTGGCGTCTGAAAATTAAAGGAGGCTGTTCACCAGCTGAACAAGTCCAGAGGAAAAGCAGTAAGACATAGCTGCAAAGGAGGAGGGAATGAACATAAAGGAGGAGGGAATGAAGGGGTTCCTTGTTCACAAGGGTAGCAATGGACTTAAATCTCAGCAAGGGAGATTTGGTTTAGACATAAGGAAAACATCTGAAGCACTGGAAGGGATTACTTGGATAGACTGTGGCATCTCCATTACTGCAACACAGCAAGACAGATAAACCCCTCTCAGTAATGGGTTAGATGCAGTTGATCCTGCTTTGGGGCAAGAGTACAGTCTAGGTGGCCTCAGAGAATCCCCTGTTCCATATGGGTTTCTAGTTGCTCTGAGGATGGATTCAGCTCAACTCCAGTGCCTGAAAGAGGAGGAAGGGGGAAGGAAAAGGAATGAGTGGAAAGGGGAAGTTCCTCTAAATATTGTACCATCTGTACTAGAACCGCGTATATTAAGTCTCAACTCTTAAGCACTGAGTCACATTTTTACATTTACTTTCTGTCAAGGCTTCTTTAAGAAGCAGCTGACATGAAAACACTCCTGTCGTTTGTGTTGGTGTGGAAGAAGTTATCATCTCATTTAAAGAGAGCTTGTGTCTCGGTCCATTGCTAATTATTTTTCATTCTTGCCACAAAACGCACGCAAATCTGTTGACAAAATATATCTCCCTCCTTTATTTTTTAATTCATAGTCTTGCCTGAACATTAGTCTTGTGGCAGTCTCATAACAGCTTCAAACATACTTGAGAGCAAAACCCTCTTAGGCGTACTACCATATCACAAACAAAAGCTTCTGTTGATAAACTGTTAGAAGTTCCCTGGAGTCCTGCTGGCACATCAGCTGTCACTTCAAACCACAGTAATTCTCAGATGAATTATACTGACTCTGCAGACAGGTTTGTCAGCAGCTGAACTGCCCTTTCACTCTGCAAATTCATGCTGCTATGGAAGAAAGTTCAGCGACAGGTTGGTGGGGGGAAGATGGGAGCGGGGAGGACGAGAGCATGCTTAAACACAGCAGTCACTGGGAAGTTCAAAGCTGCACATCACATCCAAAAAGAGAATCAGTCACTGCAAAAGAAAAGGCCTTTTGCTTAGGTAATGGGGTTTTAGGTGTGGCTTTCTGCTGTGCTGAACTGTACAGAGGGAGGAAAAACAAGGGACGAGGAGGAACTGGTGCACGGTAAGGGATGACTGCTGCGTGAGATGGACTCACCTCAGTTCAGGGATGCAAACGCTGCCCACTTCACAGATGAAAAGGGGTAGCGCTGCAGCAGCTGGCGTTACCTCTTACTTCTCTCCACTGCTGCCGAGCATAACTATCGACAAGCTTGCTAGTGAGTCAGGTTTCATTGTGGTGAGAGCATTGTTGGTGTACTACTAAAGCCAAGTAAATTTAAGAAAAGCGCAGAGAACAGAAAAAAAAAACCTCTCTGTGCCTGCTGTTGATCTCTCCAAAGCCTTTAGTACTGTTTTCAGACAACTTTGTCCGTACTTGCTCATCTTTGTGCAGTGACAGTTAAGGCTAAATGCCAGAAGCTTTCTGAGAGCAGCAGCAACCAATGTGGTACTCCATCTCTGCTGTGCCTGAGTATTTTTTTATGAAACATAGACAAAATCCTAGGCAGCCTGGTCTGAATTAAGAAGGGTTGACTTTGCTTTGAGGGATCAGAAAAAACAAAAAGGAATTGAGTAGTATATAGCTGGCTCTGGAGCAGTCAGAGGTCTGGGCCAGTAACCTGCTCCCCACTGACGACTGCATTAGTGGCTGGCACACGCAGGAGGGGGCAGCACACGGGTTATTGCTCGTACTGCCAAGCAGTTTGCACGTGATTAGCCCAAAGAAACAGAGATCCTGAGCAACCTTACCCTGGTGGAGCCACGGACAATGCAGTAGTCAAGTCTACAGACAATTTTTTGTTACCTTACCAAAAGCCAGTGCAGCACCTGAGTGATAAAGCATCGTACAGTATGACAGAGGCATCTGAAATCAAAAGTAAATGTTTAACATGAAGGTACCGTTACCAGTTATGTGTGTCTGCAAAAAGTCAGGCCATTTATACTTGTAACATCAGGTGTCTCAAGTCAATTCCACAGACATCATTGTCTTTGTAGCCTTGAATGGTATCACATAGCAGGATAAAATCTCAAATAGCAAGGCTCAAAACAGTATTCCTGCAGCCGAGCATCTCTGAGTCGAGTGTATGAGGCATATCGGCCTGTCAAGATACAGTGAGTGACAGGCAGGGACCTGCAGAGCATTTTGAGGACATGTACAGCTGGGCTACAAGGTCCCTGTTGATGCTAGGAAAAACTTCAAACGAGTTGGAGTTATGCTGTATGGCATAACAGGTGCCACGTGAAAGCAGCTGCAGTGGCTCTAATTACATCTGCAGCAGCTTTGACTACTGATAACGCTGCAAATTGCATTAATTCTTCATCAGTGAAAGTACCATTACTGAATCTTCACGCCAGACATGAACAGAGAATCCTATCCTTACGTTTACTGGGAACGACCTATTGCCATGCCAAGCCATTACAGTTACAGAGCACTCTTAACATTGGGAGCTTTATCAGGCAAGGTATGTTTTGAACCAGTATTTTGAACCCAAAATGAAATAAATTGTAGCAATAAAAGCACAATTTTCATTGCGTAGCTGTATCTGCACACACATTTCTCTGTCAGCATCGGTGCGTCAGTCAGCGGTCACACCACTGACCTGCACAATTTACTGCCTAGCTCTGCACTCTTGATGTGAGAGAAGTAAGAAAAAAAAGAAAAAAAAATCAGACCTAAACCTAAGCATCTCACAAACCTACCAAGTTTCTAAATACTTTTCTGTGAAATAACTGAGTTCACACCACAACCTATAAAGGACTCATTCTCTGAATACCTTAAAAACCTTCACCTAAAATAGTTTTATTTATATTTAGTTCCTGCTTTTGAATGCCTCTCTCTTGACTATATACCTGTCTCCAGCTGTACCAGTGTCACACAATTGCCTTTCCTCATCATTTCCTTCTGGCAGGGGCTTTCTGACAGAAACTTATTCGTACTTTCGTAAAAGAGTGTGTTATAGCTGTTTCACTGACCACTTCTGAGATTAGGCCTTACAGCGTGGACCATTGCTTGGCCAAGAAAATGAAGGGCTGCGTAGAGGTGCCTGTAGCACTTACACCTGTGGAAGCTGCAGAAGACAGGCCACACGAGCGCTTTGCTTGCAAAGCCAGGGCTTCGCCACGGCACCCCCTGCCTTGGCCACTGGGATCCCCCAACCGCCAAGTCTTGTTAACAGCACTCGGGCCCTTGCAAATGACCTGAGACTGTTAGGGGGTCATTAAGCTCTTCCCCGTGGGAAGGTTATACAAGTAGCTTTCAGTTGATTTCTTACCTTTGCAATACAAGGCTTGTCCTTTTTTTTGTTTGTTTGTTTGTTTGTTTTTTGTTTATTTGTTTGTAAGCTTGAAACTTAAGTGTGAGTTCCGCTGTTATTTACAGCCTTTCTTTTAGTGACTCAGGCTAGATTTGGGGATATTAATTATTTTGACGGAGTCTAAAACAGACTGGGTGAGTCACATTAGACACGCAGTTAACCCCTCCAAAAACCTAAAACTGAAGGCACGCGCTTAAGCAAAACAAAACATAATTGGAAGACCAGACTAATCCTTTTACTCAGATACCCTGGCAACTAGAGAAGGGTCTCAAAAATCACACTGCAAAGGATGGGATTTTAAAAAAAAAAAAAATCCAGCTGACCAGCAGAAGTGAAGAGCAGCTTATTACTGAAGCGTGAGGAGGCTTCTGAGAATATTGTTCTCAGGTCAAAATGCAGGGAGGGAGGAGGGAGGCAGAGAGCAGGGAAACAATTTTCAGAAAAGACTAGAAATACCAAATAGTAGGTAAGTGATCGTTCTAAAGCAAAATACACCTACAAAGAAAGGCTGCCTAGCGCTTGTAGCAACGTAGCAGTGTGGACAAACTCCCCCCCGCCCTTATCATGTCAAATTATGTCCACAGGTAACTTTGTACAAGGACTCTGATGGAGAGGATTTTGGGTTCAGCGTCTCTGATGGTTTATTGGAAAAAGGAGTTTATGTTAAAAACATTCGTCCAGCTGGACCTGGGGATCTGGGTGGTTTAAAACCATATGACAGACTTCTACAGGTAAGGGTTCTACCACTGCCGAGGTTTAGTGGGAATGACGTGGGATACAGATTGCTGCTAAATTTGTAAGCACACTGCATGGTGTTTTGGTATCCGTGTACACAGATGTGAGTGTAGCACTCTGCATAAAGTTGTGCTGTCACTCACTTGGAACAACTTTATCAATCATCTTCATTGCTGATCATATTTTAAATGTCAGGACTTTATATGTGTATCTGCTAGGAAAGGATGTATATGGTGGTGGTTGGGGCAGGGGGGCAGGGAAAGAAGAGAGAGTACTCTGCACCACAGGCCACGTAAAGCACTTATTTCCTGAGTAAGAAACGTTAGGACCTCGTGTTGATTTGTGGGTTTTATGCACTGGTATGAGGCTAGATTTTGCTATAAAGTTTTATTTATAGAAACAGATTTCAGAACATTAGATATGTCAGAACACCACAGGAGACATACAAATGCTCATGGGAAAGTTAGAATTTCCCATGGCATTTCCAGCCATATTTGCATTTTTCACTTTCGTGACACAGACGTTAAAGCTGTTTTGGCACTTAATCCAAGTTGTTGATCGCCCCGCTTCTAATCCGTGTAATCCCTGAGCCCCACACTTACCAGAGTACCAAGTTAGACTACGGGAGGAAAAAAAAAGCTTTATCAACCAGTCCAATAAAAATATTTTATGTATTACTTAAAACCAGCAAAAAGCTACTAAAGATTTAGAGATGATCTGTTGAATTTAAATTAATGAACATTGTGAAAGTGAGGAAAAAGCTGTGTGCTGTTAAATATGTCATTTATGGCGTAGACATTGTGACAGCTGACAGCAGGTGTCCCCAGTGCAAATAGAAAACTAACTATGGCCTTCAGACCAGACATTATGGTCTTTTTAACCATGGTGAACATTTCTCTGCCTGGTATAGGTAAATGAGGTTTCAGTCATAAGTCCAGAGGATAGGCCTGTTTCCTTTCGCTCATGCCATCTCATTTTGTCTTCCTAAAATGGTAACAAAAATGAATCTTCTGATCTTTCAGGTGAACCATGTTCGTACCAGAGACTTTGACTGTTGCCTAGTTGTGCCCCTCATCGCAGAATCTGGCAATAAGCTGGAACTGGTTATTAGCAGAAACCCACTGGCAACGCAGAAAGGAAGCTCAGAACAACAGACTTCAGCAAGTGGGGAATGGAGCGATCAAAACAATGCCTTCCTTCAACAGACTGGACATGCTGTTAATACAGAGACACGGGATCCTACAAATACATTATAGCAGAAAATCATTTCAGTGGGACATTTGGTAATGAAAGACAATTATGGTGCTAAATCCCTTTAAGACTCCTCTGAGACTGAGGCTCAGATGTCATATGGCACTAAAAAGCACAGGAGGATCAGTCTGTCCGTCTCAAGGCTTATATAAATTCATGCTCACATTTGAAAGACTTTTAATTCATAGTTAAGTCATTCCATTCTAAGCAACCTACCATTAGCAACAGTGAACAAAAAAACATAAAGGCCTTTTTTTTACCCCCCAAAAAGAAAACAGGGAGACGTTTAAACATGATTTAGATATTCCTTCCCCTCAAACAGCTGCTGTGGTTTGAGGGGAAAGCATGGAATTAACCTCTCCTAACAGTGGTATCTAGGTTATATTGTTTTTAAAAACATTTTTTAACAGCCAATGACTGGCTGAGAATGAGTAAGAACGGCATGCTGCACCTTGTTTTCTTGTAAATTAGGTAGAACTGGAATTTTGGGGAACATTATTCCACTGGCAGAAAGGGCATACTCTTCAGATAAAGCACTGTTTAGACATTTTAACAAAATTCACATAGGAAGCTGCAGTATGTGGTGAACATTATTCCTCAACTGTGGTAAATTTTTATTAGAACATATGTTATTCCCTATGCAATGAAATATTTAATGATATTAAAACCTATAAGGTTTTTTTTTTTAAGCAGAGACTTTTTAGACAGTGGGATAAGACATCTGAAGAAGGATTACTGACAAGAATAAAACCGAAATGAGTTTAGACAAATTAGGTTTTAAAGAAAATGGATTTTTTAAACTATATCCAAGATTGATATGAAAGCTCTTTAATGATCCATAAAACTCTAAACTTGTAGTGTTACATAGGAGCTCTCTTTATAAGTCAAACAGTTTCTTGAGGGGACTAAAGTCCATTTAAATAAGCTTTGTTTTCAGCCTTCTTTATGATAAACGTAGCCCCTGCAACACGTTTTTAGAATTTAAAATTGTAAATACATTTTACAAACACATCACATGAATTCTCTCCTCCCCCCACCCCAAAGCAATAAAATACTGCCAGTTGCTTTATAAGCTCACCAGCACCTGCTTTGGTTTATTCCAGTATTCACGTTGTCATGGTAATTATTGTTATTGGTGAATATAAAGATACTGGATTTGTACATTTGTAGAGTCTCCATATCCAAGCAATCACCTTACAGAGTTTTCCGGTCAATTTAAACTGTCTAACTGTATCCCTATTGCTATTTCCCGTACATGAGCAAGCTCACCTGCCCTGCACATACAAGTACATCTGATTTCTATTTCAGCACTGCCAGAAATGACATCCAATGCTGAATCATGTAAAAATAATGTTCATGAGTCACTTAAATAAGTATTTTTATTTGTAACAAATAAGTATTAAACTGTAAAGTATTTTTGTACAAATTTAATACTTTAATAGCATGATATTTATCGTCTATGTATGTTTTTTGAAATTCAAACTGTTGCAAATATTTGTATGGAAAAACTGTATAAATTGAAATAAACAGTGATTTAAAGACATTAACAATGAGGTAATATTTTTCTACTTTAAATTGTTTCCACACATGTAGAAATACAGTTTTAACAAAAAATACCATATTTACATTTGAGGTACCCTTTGCTGCAAAAAAAAATTTTATTATGGCAAGAGAAAGAGAGAGAATGTAAGCCATCCAAATTTTAGTAGAGCCTGTCTGAAGTTTGAGTAAAACATTCAGGTTATTTAATCTTGAAAATTACAATACATCAAGTAATGCAATACAGGGAAAAAAAAAAAAAAAGGCTGCAAGTGGTACATTATTTCATCTCTGACTTGGAATTTTGTTTTTGTTACCAAGACCATTAGCAGCCTACAATTTCATTGGGTAGAAACAGCAATGGCAAGTTTTAAATCTCTTAAGGTACCACAGGGAAAATTTTTCTTTGCAGGTCAGTGATTGCTACTTGCTTGTTCATTTATAACAAGACTGAAATTCATGATCTGGCCAAGCTTCATGCCCATAGTTCTGCCACATTAGACCCAACTGAAGTCCCCTTTGTACACCATCTGTTTTTTGGCTCAAGAGCACACTGTAGCTTTGGAAAGGGAGTAATAGCTTCTAATCAGTGCTGTGGCATTATGAACTACATAGAACTTGGTACAGATAGAATGTTTAAACCAAGAAATTCCCATGTATTATTCAAGGGAACATCTGGCTCCTAATAGTCCTGTAAGTTAATTTTTTGCCAAAATAAAAGAATGGTATGATTTTTGATGACTAACACCCCAACGAATCTTCTACTAAAAACAGGTAACTGAAAATATAAAAGGCTCACTTTAAAACAAGCTGTCCTTCAAAGAAACTGGAAATAGAGGAAAGCTGTTGAAAATCTCTGCATATCTAGTTTCTCCATTCCAGAAACTTTATTTTAAAGCTGTAGAAAACAAGTGTATTCATTAAGACGACAGCTGATTGTTAGCTTTTGAAAAGCTTCCTAGCAGTTACATGTTCCAAAGTTAGATTCTTGAGTCTGGAAGACCCAAGTGGGGAATCGTGTTCAGTTGTCTGTCAAAACAAAATAAACATGTTATCAAAGTTGGAACCAGAACTAAAATACAGTAACATCTTCAGAAGAAAACTCTTCCCCCATGACAGACCTCAGAAATTAGATATACAGTAAATGTCAATTCTCCCTATTCTTTTTTTTAAACAGAAAAAGTTCTGTTAATAATAAGCATGTTTGATCGTACAAAAAATGTATCTACTTCAACAATGAAGTTACATTTAAATATTTCACAACAGGTCATCTCTAGAAAGTTGACATGTGTGCACAAAAAGACCAAGCTAATATAGTCTAAGCTAGTCAACAGTCACTGGAATTAGTAACAAAGATGTGCAAGTTTACTGCTACTGGCATTATAATTTATTTTCTTCCCTATAAGCCATATATTACCCTGGGAAGACATCTGCCAAACTTGATTGCTTCACAGATTACTGGTCAGCTTACTAACACCTTGAAAATTATTACATAAATTAAAAAAAACCAACACATAATAGTATCCAGGCCACTTGCACTGCTGGGAAAAAAAAAAAAACAGAGTGCAATAATTTGTTTTATATTTTCTCAGCAAAGAGATACTTACCAAGGATGTTTTCATAACATCTTCTGAATTCTCTCTTGGACTTCTTTGCCTTTTATATGGACTTATCTGCTGTGAATTATTGGTCTGCTCTTCATTAAGAACTGCAGACCCTTCCTGTTTAATCAAATCAGTTACAGGTTCGGATGGGTCAGGAGCATCTTGAGTTACAGAAACAGGCTGAGTCTCAAGTTCTTGATTTTGCCAGCTCTTCTTCAGGGGAGGGCAAGCTTGTTTTGGACAGCTGTTCATTTCTGCAATTGTCTCCCTCAAATATTTCTGTAAGCGAGTTTTTCTGGGAATGTTCTTGTTAGTGACTGCTTTCTTGAGGTGCAACTCTTCAGCTATAACATAGACCCGGCAGCGTCCTCTGGTCACAGCCGTGTACACGTGCTGCCAGTGCTGACGGCCTGGATTCCCAACTACGTAGACAACAGTTTTTTCCTCAGAACCCTGAAATATGTATAAGAACTTCTTACAAAATTAAAATCTCCAATAATAAAAAAAGAGCTTACAAGTGAAAGGAAATCAGAGAGAACTGGGGACACTCTAGAGAGTATCTTCTGTTCTGCATTCAAGGAATTTTCAAGAGAGCCTCTGCAACTTTCATGTGAAAATACAGTGCATTACTGAGATAAAGTCATGGTAAAGTTTTACCAGCTCATAACACTTCCTACCTGAAACGTGTGAATGGTTCTGGCCCACGCATGTTTTATGTGACATAGCTTCTTCAATGCTTTATACACCACGGTAAATGTGGTGCCGTACGTGCTGCTGATGGTCAGTAAGCGTTGTTTATTAACTTCTGCATCCTAAAGACAGCACAAGAACATTCAGCAGTAAGCTCATATCCACAGTATGATCAATGTCTATACATCTACATGTGTCTATATGCTCCCTCTCCCTGGAAGTTAAAATAGCTGCAACACTGGCCAAGTGAAATAGTTTCAGAAGATGCTGAACCCAAAGATTGCGGTCTTTCAGTGACTAGCTTTGAGGAAACTTGTTTCACAGTACAGCTTACCCTGTTTTAAAAAGTTAAAAAAGGAAGTTTTAACCCCCAGAAAACTTAGATTATCTTAGGGCAAGGTGACATATTACAAAAAAGCCCATTTAACAACTTGTTGCTACAAATAGGGGACAGTCCGCTCTCTCCCACCAACTCTTTGTGCTTCCCCCTTGTCCAGCACAAATACTAGTATTCGCTGGACCCTTTGCTGTGTCAATTCAACTTACTCATCCCAACAGAAAAATAAAGGTTTAGAGGCTGGTTAAGTTTCTGTCAGCTTACTTTTCTGCCAAGGGAGGACTCAGGCTGTCACATTAGCTTTATTTAAAGACTGTATTTTTACCTCTATCCAAAAGATTTGAGATGCAGTATTTAGCGAGTTTATGACAAAAAAAAAATTCACAGCACAAACCAAGAGCAGACCAACTGAAACAGGTTTTACAAGAACTCCCAGAGATGTTTTTTGTTCAATTCTCTATTGTGTTCTGTCTCTTTTTTGCAAAAGGGTAGCCTTTCACATAACAGTTTGGCAGAACTAAGTATCTATTATGGACTAAAATTTTAAAATGTGAATTCTTTTGGTTTGAGATTCAGCAAGGATTGCATCAGATACTACTATTTTTTATGCAAGTTTCTGCATAAACTACTTACATCTGTTATGAAAAATATATCTCCATTGCAAAGTCGTTTGCCCTCCTCAGTAGTCTCTACACCAAGGGCGGGTTTTCCACTTTTGCATTCATGGCGATCAGAATACTTGCTGAAACTTTGACCTGGCAAGAGATCCTTGAGATAGGTATTTCGCATGCAGCAAATCTTGTCATCAGTTTGAAACACAAGTCGTCTTTTATGGTCTCTAGGTCAGGAAAAACAAAAGGGAGAAATGGATACAAAGTATGCATACGCAGTCACTGAGTATTTCTTCTCCTTCCACTGAATGAATCCAGTATACTTGGGCCAGATTAAAAACCTTAAAAACGTTCAAAACACTTAAGACAACTCTTAAATTTAACAGGTGTTTGTCTAACTTTTAGAAAACTTTTTTGGTAAAAAAAACAGTAGTATGGAACAGTACTGAAATGCTGCTTCCAAAAATATTTCAGAATCTACTTAGAAATCGTATAGTGGGAAGAATAATCTTGAAATTCACATATCGACAAGTAATTTAAATGAAATGCGAACAGTTAGTTTATAGTATTTCTGTTCAAAGTCCAGGCTGAAACTAAACGACCCACCAAAGAAAAATTCTTTATAGTAAAAATGATCTGTAACATAATCAATTAGATCTATATGAAACTCTAAAACCAATTTTACAATTTTATTTGAGGTTGCTGGCCTTTTGCATGACACTTTCAAAAATCAAACTAGATTGGTGAAGGGAAAAATTGCAAAATACTGGCTCACCTGGTCAAATGGTTGGAATAGTGTTGGCAACAAAGTTCATTTATTAGATCACAGTCTTGCCTAAAACGTACAAAATATGAACAAGTAAAAAAATCCATCATGCACTTAAAGAATACAAGACATAAAACAATTACAAGCAATGTCACATTAGTATCAATTACAATGTAACGGAAAAAAACATCTTTTAGTTCTGATGATCTTCCACCAATAATTAAAAACAATATTTGGATTCAGAATTTAAAAGACAGCAGTAAAGCAATAGTTTTGTTTAAATACTGTACAGAAAGTGAGGCAAAGATGTTTGTGATGCAGACCTAGATTAGCCGAATTTACTTTGAAGATAAATAGCAAAACTAGAGGAAAAACTGAAGCCTGGATATATTTTTTTTCTGTCTATTGGAACTAGATAGGCGATGTGGTCATTATATATATTTTTGTTTAAAAAAACAAGAATTTAATTTTTTAAAGGTAGATTAAGTACCTTTAAATATACTACAGAAAAATCTTAAATGGAAATTGTAAATAGCAGTATAGTACCTGCAAAAGCAGATTGGAGAAATTCAACTGACTTCAGAATTAGTCAGAGTTCACAACAAACAGGTGAACTTACTAAACTTTATAGACCAGTTTATTTGTACACTAGTAACCTAGTTTTAGTGGCTTTTTTAATTGCTAAGAAAAGGTCCTTCACAAGTAAAAGCAAAAAGTTGTTCTTCTTTTCAGTACCCTTTTCAGTGTAACACTATGGACTGTAGTACTATCAAACATACATTTATCCTTTCAGCATTTCTATGAAACCTCCCGTACTATTTATGCTCCTGCAACAGTTCACATTATCAGTAATTCCCAATATTTCCTGTCCTTTTTGGAAGTACGTTAGAGCTATACATCTCACCTATTCCTTCTTAAATGACTTATACTGTGCTTCCAAATATCCAGGATGTAGGCATTTACCACTAACAGGAGCACTAATGCACATCAGATTATATGACTACACCTGGCCCTCATCAGATGATGAAACACAAGTATCTTCTGTCACTGATGAACATCCACCTGCTCCGGTGACAGAAGTATGCATAGGCAGCAGGTTGTATGCTCCCACCCATGCACCCTGGAATTCTCCCCTTCCAGGATGGAGCATGTTTGAATACTGACCACATAATCTCATCTGGAATCTCTCTCGTGGGGGTAAGATGCATTACTTTGTATTTTGTGGCTTACCCTGCAGTCAAGCCCTCACCTTTCCCTTCCAAAGAAGTCTGCACTATTAGCAAACACCACAGCACAAGCTCTCGGAGAATCCAGTACAGGAGTGACCACTTATGCCTATCCTTAATACAAACAGTACAGATGAACATGAATACAAAGGCAAAAAGCATGGTGCAAAATAACATTATGCTTACAGAAAAATAAAGTAACTCTCCATGCAGAAACAGGAGGCAACCAGAAGGCACAGGAAAAGACACAGGCCTGTTTTTTCCTCTAGCATTTTTAACTCTATTGCCACTGGTCTCTCCAACTCAATGCATTCAGACGTTTTTAGATCATGGCTACTAGCAAGGATTTTTCCAATGTCTGCCTACATGCTCTGTTACCTTCTAAAAGCAATGAACTGTGATTGTCTGGCATCCTGCAGTCCTGGTCCTTTTTTAAGTAAAGTCTTTATGGCAGTCTGCAAATCTGATTTAAAAGACATAAAAGATAAGGTATAAAAATATGCAGAACAAACAATTTTAGAGAGAATAATATAATTCAGTATGAAATTGCCTTGGCTCATTTCTTCCTTCAATGCCATTTCAACTTGTTTAAAAGAAACAAAACAAAAACAAAACACAAAAAAAAAACAAATCACACATATATACTTCCCCCTAAAAGCATCATTGCAGCTATCCCACAATTAAAATCTGGGAAGACAAGAGTAATATAGACAGACAGAAACTCTTATTTCTTTTTGTTAAACAGCTGACTATTTCATGCAAAATAATGTTTTGATACAGCACATCAAAGAAGCACTGGATAAATTATTTTTAAGCCATGGAACTATGCATTTAGATTGTGCAAAAGAAAATCATTTTAAGTATTCTGTTTGCTAAATAAGTTATTTTAGTAAGGTGAAGTCATAATAGTCACGCTTATATTTTTCCACATTGCACTTCAATGCATATATGCATTTTCAATGCATATAAAGTGGAGGCACCTATCCAATGAAGGTCAAAAGACGAACCCCAACTCCAAAGCATTTTGAAAGAAATATCAGTGTCTCCTCTCCTAATAGCCTTCCTCTGCTTCTATTTTCTTGATTTGATTCCAGAGTTGAGAGCACACACCTGTCCCAACCCTACCCTGGAACAGTTGCTGTTTACCCAAAATACTTCACCTCTGAAAAAATTAATCTTTTAAGGGTTAACAGCTCAGCTGTTACAACAAAAAAGGCTGATCATATTTGATGACACTGGTCTAAGCTGCAACAGTCCCATTTCAAAATGTACCTGGTAAGCCGAAACCCTACGGAGTATCCTCTGCCCTTACAGGTTTTGCTGCGTCCACTCACATAATGCAAAAGGTAAACTACGAATCTAGTATTTATTTTTAAACCAAAACCAAACAACTGACTAAGACCTTTCAAAAATATTCATTCCAGCCAAACAGTTTATGTTTTACAGAAGGGGAAATCAAGATCATAAACTGAATATACACACATACTGTCACAGCCCCCACCAGAAGGCAAAGCAATAAAAATGAATTTCTTCTCAGGGCTTGGCATTGTCAGTTCTTCATTCCAACCAGAAACTTTTAGCACCTCATCAAACTCAGGAAACTTCCGATGAGAGATTCTTGACAACAGGAGTGGTAGGAAAACAGAAAAGAAAAATGATTTTCAGTTAAAAAATTCCAGTGTACCAGGCTCTGCATCAGCCTGAATTTTACCACTTACAAGTGCTTCCTCATCTACTACAAACTATATACACTGAAAATTCTTTTTCTGAGCATAACCTAAATTCACAGGAAAAAAAATGGTAATTTATTCTCCAAACCCTTCAGCACTACAGTAGACATTCAGGGTTATTCCTCATGGGAGGAGTCTGGAGTAACATAGAAGTGCTACCAAAAACAGGTGGGGAAGGGGTTTGTAAACATTAGTTGTAATTCTGGACATCTTGCAAAGATTCAGATTATCCTAAAATTTCCACTGATATCAAAGAGAGAAGCAATTATAAATAATTTCAGAATACCGTAAGCATTTTGTGCACGCAATCAGGTTCTGCACAGCAACTGAGCACCAGTTAGACACAAAGCCCTCACTCTGCAAGCTGGTTCCACACATGCAAAATTCCACTGTCACAAGCTGCAGGATTCATGACTTAGGACATCTTAACGATTCATGTGTTTAATGATTCATTAACCCTAATCCGGTTAACTCTTACTCTTGGAAGTGGTCCAACTATCTCCACTGAAACAGGCTCTGGCAATTAGAAAACACAATTCACTTGGCCACAACTAAAGGTATTTGATAGTGAAGGGCTTATTTTGCAAAATACCCCATACAGCACTCAAGAATATCCCAGCATATTTCTGGATTTTTTAAGGTATTCTCCAATACAAATACTCCAGGCAGAGTCTCAGCCTTTTCTTTTTTTTTAAATCAGTGCTATCGGTTTTGAGTAAGAGCCTGTAACAGAAACAGTACTAGAAAGTTAAATCATGATGCACTACTGTTTTGCAGATAAAGGACTAGAAGAACTACAAGAATGCTTGTTATATACATAAGGAAATCCTACCTTGTTGCATTGTCTACAATTAGTTGTGATTCAGCTCTGTGATTAGTTCGCAGTTCCACAGATAATCCTTTGGATTTTAGACCCTCAAAGATATCAGCTAGCATATTACCAGGATCTATGCTTGGGAGCTGTCTAGTATCACCTAAACAAAACATAAATTAATATTTGTGAGGAGCAACAACAGAATATCTCTGAAAACATCTTTAAAAAAAAAATCACTGAAAGTAATAAATACTCATAGTGTAAGACACAGCAATCATATGCTTCCCCAATATAAATTACGTGAAATGAAACTTTCAAGAATCCCTAAGCTTCTTAGAATCAAATTATAGTGTAGTTTAAGGCCTTTATATTCTTCACTGAATAATGCTTTGCTAGTAGGTGCAAATGACTCTGTATGATGAACACTGATACTGATCACCTTATCCAAACATATTTTAAAAGCTACAGACCTAAAATTGAATGCCAAAAAAGTAACCTCCAAGACAGCAGAAGTGAAAGATCTGATTTTACACTTGTTTTCCTTTCTAAATTAAAAACAAGTAGATCCTAACATTAAGATCCTCATGAAACAATTTCTCTTCTAACATCTGACTCATATGTTAACAACAACTTCTTTAAAGCTTGAAGGAATGAGAAAAATTTCCAAGTCACAAGACATTATAAGAAGCTACTAAATGGGAGTCACAGTACTTTCAGAAACAGACAAAGCACTAACAAATAACAGAAAATAATACCACACTGACAGCTAAAGTAGACTGGACTCCTCAACTGTTTTCCATCTCATCCGACCTGACTATATGCATGAGCAGATATCCAAAAACAGAACAATGTGACATTCTCGGGATTTTAGAGACTCAGCAAGAACAGTGGTAGCTCTGATGCTTACACTGTATATTGTGTATTACTAAATATACACATATATAATACATATATTATATACATAATGCATATGCATAATGTTATTAAATATACATATATATAATGTAATCCTAATTGTGTATTTTTCCACTTACCAAGAATAATAAGTTTGGCAAGCTGAGCATGCTCACATAAGAGCTTTAAAACTAAACTAAGAATATGTACTGACACCAAGCTTCCTTCATCCACAACCAGAATTGTCACAGTAGAAAACTTCCACGGCAGTCCTTGCTGACTCTGCTTCCATGATTTAAAACTATAGATGATCTAGAAAGAAATTAAAATAATTTGAGTTCTATAACTAATCGACTGTAAACAACTGTCTTACCACGGTAGCCCAAGTATGGTCTCTTCTAATGTTGTATTTAGAGGTATTATCCGAAGTTCTGAACTTAAACCTGTACAGAATCAGAAGGCTCAATCATTCGGTCTTATTTCTTTCCTCAGCGAACACATTTCTAGCTGAGATGATCAACACTCACTTATACAAACGCACCAAAAAACCCCACAAAAAATAAAACACAACTCAAATACGAAGCCTTAATGCAGGAAGAGCTGCATGGGCTCTTTGAGAACCTCTACCTGTCAAATTCTGAATCTTATGTGTAGTAGAAATTTCACTTTTCCACTATCTGACACGGGAAGAAATTGCTCTTACTCTAAATACACGGTAACCTTCCTGTAAGCAGGGAATCCCTTAAACCTATTTCAGCGATTATCGTAACTGTTAGCTATCCAAGCTCCATCTTGAAAAAGCTGAACCCATGTCACGTCCTTGCTGCTCAAGTCACACCTTGCTCTGCTTCCTTTTATTTACAGCCCCAGAAGACTGTTTATAAGGATTATCCCACCAGCTCTGAGAAACAACTGGCAGGCCACAAAGCAGGGCTACTCCATTTCTTTCCTCCAAGCACCCGACAGGAGATAAGGTGAGCCATTAAGTTGCTCAGTAACATAACTGATAAACAGCCTAATAAACGGCCACCATTGCATGGGGAAGGGGTACAGGCAACCACCCAGTCCCCAACACAGGTAAGATAAGCCTACAGGATGCTTTGTATAATTGTTGTTTTTATTTACACAAGCTGTTCCATCCCTTGTTATGGTTTAACAAAGTCCCATCCTGATGAATGCATATTAAGTTAATAAGGATGCCCTCCGTGGGACCCCATCAGGATAAGGGAACCCGGCCAGGCTTCCCCTCACTCAGGTTTGAAACCATTGGTGGACGGATACCACAGGCGGGGAGCAGCTGCCGCTGTCAATCACAGCGCATGTTCTGGAATCTTTAAATAAGGGATCAGAAACAGACCAATTAGAACGAGGATCCAAAACTGACCAATGGTAGAGCTGATATGAAGCAGGCTAGGCCCTATAAAAGGAGCACCAGTTGCCGTGCTTTGGCTTGGTGGTGGCGTCAGTGAGAAGAGAAGAGTGCTGTTGGAGAAGACCTTGGTCACCCTTTTAAGGGCTCAAAGAGGCCAAGCAGCCTTTTGGAAGGATAAGGGCTGATATGGGATCATCCTCTCTGAAGCTGCTGGACAGCCAACGGCGGGACGCAGACCGGTGAATCAGCGCTCCTCGAGACCTGCCCTGCCCCTTGATTTGGGATATCGAATCAAGTTTGTCAGGATCCTTTCGGCCACCCCTTCACCTTTATACCATGGACACATGAGTCATTACGGCTCTGTACTGAGAGCCGGCACACCCACCAGTGTGGCCTGCTGATACTACGGTTCTGTACCAAGAGACAGCACACTCACCACCGTGGCCTGCTGATACCACGATTGTGTTGAAAACTGACATGCCTACCCAGCGTGGTCAGATCGGGCACCTCACCCTGCACCCTTACAGCACAATACCACCTATGTCATCATCTGGCGTTGCCCCATGCAATACTGGGTTACCTCTTTGTTGTATTTCCTATTAACTTTTTTGTGTTATTAACTGGAAGCTTCCTGTGCATATTTGTAAATAGTTTAACAAGGCATAATACATTGTATTATTATCTGCTATCAATTAAGAAGTGATGTTGTAAATCCGTTCATGAAGTAAGGAAACCTATACCGCTACTCCGAACTTGTTCTCAGTTCACAGGTTCAGCTAAACAAAATAACTTTCTTTTTAAAGGAAAAAATGTTTTTTTCAATCGCGTAGCCGTCCAGAAACCACAAACCCCTCCAACCTGCTTGTGGCACATTCTGTTACCTAGGACAATGGAAACTTAAATTTATTAGCAAACAGTTTGCTTTCTACTTTTTTCTAAAAGTTGTTGCAAGATACATACCCACATATACAGTACTTAGGAAAACACTGCATGAATAAAATCTGTCTCATTGCTCAACCCCAGCCTATGGTCTCTTCACAAATGTCCTGGAATCAATATGCAACAGGGCACTGGAGAACAGCTCTGCAATCTAGGGAAGATCTCTGCAGTTAATTTTAAATGCTGTAGATTATTCAGAGTTCCAAAAAACTGGTAAGATAAAAAGATCGGATGCCCTAGAAAGGCACAAACTTGAGAAGTGCATAAGAAGTAGGAAAAAAAAAAAAAGCTGCAGCAAATAATGCATTTTAGATGATTGGATTATGATTCCTGAAAGCGTAATACTGATTTTCAAATGCTGACAGGCCGTACCTTAAAATTATCATTAATAGCCAAAAGTATCATAAAAAAGGTCAATGATAAGCTTTTTCCAAAACAAGAATGACATTAGAAGATGATTAAAAAAAATATCCTTACCTGATGCAGGGTATATGCAGGAAATCTAGTTTTTTCACTCAAAAGGCTTGCTGCCCTCCCCGTAGGTGCAGTAAATAATACATTCAAAAGATTTTTCGTGCAAGTAGTTTCTGACTCCCAGTGATGATTAAAAGTATTCCATTCCTCAGACACATCCAGGTCTCCCTCAAAATCCTTAGAAGCAGCTTCTACTTCTATTTCCACCTGCTTTAAGTGACGAAAAAGGCAGCTAACTATTGTACTCTTCCCACAACCACCTTTTCCGCTTATGATTGTGACAGGATTAGAACAAATCTTTTCCATAGCAATCACCTGATCTAGGTCTACCTCTGCTTTACTTTGGGTACCAGATGTAGACTTCACTTCCTCTTTAAGGAAGCTATTTTCAAAATCATGATTTCCTGAACTATTTTCCTTCATGTGCTCCATTTCATGAGCCTGGGTGACATTCCTTTTAATATCTGTTATTTCTCTTGATGTCTCACAAACATTAACACTAAGTATCTGTCGCACATCAACATCTAGTTGCCACGTGTGGTTTGATAAAAGGTCACCGACATACATTGCAATGTCTTTTTCAGAGTAGTAAAGATGAGGCAGAAACACCATTTTTTTCTCCCTAATCACTATATGCTGATCTTTCAAAAATTCAAGAGATTGCCAAGCATGCTCAATAGACATATCTTTAGACACAAAACGAGTTAATTCATCTTGATCTTCATAAGTATGTCCCATTTCTCTACATTGTTTCTTGAGCCGATCATACAGAATTAATGCATTCTTCTGCAATTCGGGAATCTTCCAGAGGAGACGTTTGCACTGATGGAAGGCTGCCCATGTTGCTTCACAATAAGAAAGGTTCAGTTCCCTATAGGTAATCTTCTCCCCAAAAGCAATAAAAGCAAAGATAGATTTTTATATTTCAGAAGATATTAGCATCTTGCTGAATAACATTCCTGCCACTAAATACAAATTGCAATTCACTGGGTAGAAGTCCACAAAAATACATACATTTTTTATAATGTACAAAGTTCTAATGCTTTTCAAGCCATATGATAGCAAGATACTTCAAAATGAGACGGAACGATAACTCCTCTGTCTTCCTTCCTTACAATACTGAAACTTTAAAATCAAAAGCCTTGAACAGAAATTGGGTATTACAGAGAACTTGTGCGTCTGATTTGATGCACGCTTAACTATCACAATTTCAAATAAAGACACAAACTACTGTAGAAACAGAGCATAGGTAAGGCATTAGCCAGAATACTGTATCCAATTTTAGACAGGGTACTTCACGGAAGAGATGAAATTTACCAAGACTAGAGGAATAAAGTGAAAGACTGAGATGTACAGAAGAGACGAACTACTGCCGGGGGTGGGGAGAAGAATTGGGCTTGCTGAGCCTAAGAGAGAAATGACTGTCTTCAAGTAGTAAACAACTGCAAGGAGAATATAGGTCTTGCTATAGGGAACAAGAGATAAAAAAGTTTAAATTGCAACAAGGAATAGTCAAACTAGACATTAGGAAAAGCTTTGTAATGCAAAGGATGCGAAACACTGGAAGAGACAAGTTAGAACATTAGGCACTGTGATAGTACTGGTAGGCTGAGGCAAAGGAATTAACTACCCATATTTCTGCACTACTAAGCTTTAGCTCACATCTGAGTACTAAGTTGAGCTGCAGCAGCACAGTTGCACAGCAAGTGTTCGTGTTAGCAAACTAAGAAGAGAAGGAAAGCAGCAACTGCAAGTCCCATTATAAAAAAAAGAGAGAACCACCAGAGCAGAGGACCTCTTATTAAGTCACTAGGATTTACTTTGCTATGAAAGCACACGCACTACTTACAGATACTGTTATATGGGCTGAAAAACAGAACATTTCCTTTGCTCACATAAAATTAAAAAGTACAATTTCAAATTAGGTTTTTGGTTTTGGCCTGATTACCTCTATTTAATTGTCTATTCCTTGTAGAAAAGACTAAACAAAAGTTTGTAACACGACCACTTTTAAAATCTTTTGAGACTGAGTTATTTTAGATCAGCTGAGAAATAAACTTTAAGATTGAGCATAGTAAATCATCCTTTTGCAAATTAACTAAAGCTTATTTACTACAAATGCCCAGTTCATAAAGTGAACATAACTGAAAGAACAGCATTATGGTCTAATGAAGATCAAAGGTAAAAAACGTCATATTTCTTACCCTATTTAATATTACTTACCTTGCTGAATCCAAGTTTCCATGGCTCATTCTTTAATATCTCATTCAATTCTGTTAGCCTGTCATCTTGGAAATGTTCTTTCTCACCATCTGCATCATTGTTATTTTCAGTATCTTTTTGCCAACATACTTCCTCCAAAAGACAGCAAAAATGGCGTGGCAGAAGAACTGGCAAGAACTCCATGACCATTGGAAAATTCATAGCTACCAATACTGCCTTTCCTGCAACTGTATGCACCATAAACCAAGAAAGTTTTAAATAATATACAAAGCCATTTGCAAAGGCAACTTACATAGACTTTGGCTATTATCCTTCTCCCTCCTCCATATCCAAAGCATACCTAATATCTTTCAATTTCTTACTCCTTGCAATTCTTTTAGAAATATTTTTAAATGAACCCTGAACTGCCTTGGAGAAAAAAACGACAAACAAATAAAACCAGTAACTAAAATACTCATTCGGAAAATATATATATGGTTTAAACTGTATACTCAATAACATTTTGTAGAAAGTCAGTTCAGACTTCACCATGCCTGCTTCTCTTATCTAAAGGTAATTTTCACACAAATGTACAAAAGAACATTTGCAATCCAAAATAAGAAAACAAACTTGTAATTCTATAATATCAGATCAGCACTTAGGAAAACAGTGCTCTGCCACTGGCCTTCTGAATGACCCTGAATTTAGGCTACCATTCTCCCTCTATGTGTACCAGTCTTGGAATCTGTAAAATGGGGATGATGAAACTGATTTTCTCCATAAAGCACTTTAAAAATGGATGGTAAAAAAAGTGAGAACTTTTTAAAGTTTTATCTTTTAGTATGCAAGAAAAAACTTTTAATGAAGTGCAATTTTTAATGAAGTGCTAAGGAAGCTTCAGAAGTTCAAACACCCACTTTTCTCAGTTAAGTACTTTTTCTTATAACTGTACTACCTACAGAAAGGCAAATATGAAACTTTTCTTTTTCCTTAGAAGCAAATGCTCAATTTTAAAGAGAACCACCAATACACACTAGTGCTAAACAAAAATATCACAAACTTCTTGACTGTGGAACAATTAATGACAAAAAAAAAAAAAAAAGGGTGACAACAGTAGTAGCAGCAACATGGTATACAGGGCGGTAATTGCTTCCATTGCTCAATGAGAGAAAGGAGAAGAAGAAAGCCTAATTTGCAGCAAAGCAATTTAAGTTAGGTATTAGGAAAAATCTTCAAAATGCCACAGCAGAGAATCTCCACACGCTGTGCACGCTTCTTCACTGGAAGTTTTATGAACAGATTAAACAAGCCTTTATCAGAAATGATCTATATATCCCATTAAAAGGCAGAGAACTAAATCAGTGTTTTAGCACTACAGGTTACAATCCCTTTGTAGTCATGAAAAGGCTTAAGGTAGTATATTAAGAGTGGTTAAGAATTTTTTTAATATTACCAAAAAAAAATGTCTACAGAATTGTGAAAATACACTTTTCCTCTCTTTACACATTTGATTCGCAGTAAAGTCAGCTCAAGTCTAGCAGAAGCTATGAGCTCTGGCTCAGTGCCTTTCCTGTCAGATATGAATTGACTCTAAAACAGTCACTTCCATCTTTAGACCTGATGCTGCCCAGTAATCCAGGTATTCTGTGATTGGAAAACTTAATTTGCTTGCACGTAATACTAGGCCCAACCTGACTCTGGATTTATGCACAGCTGCTGCAAAGTTCAAAAGACCTCCTGGATTTCAGAGTACTGAGTCCCATGGTACTGATACCTTAGTGCATAGAGCACCAACCTAGAACTGACCATGTCTACTTTAGTAAGTAATGTGGCATAACAGAAACAGACCTTTAGAGCAAAACAAAACAGCTGTTGTTGAGGGCATGACTCAGACATCCTGACTACACCCATTTCAGGGTGTTTTGCTTCAGACTAGCTATAGTTTGGCCTCACAGACTGACTGCCATTAGTGGTACATTAGGTGTGCTACTGGAGCACATCTTGTGGTTAGCTTCATCCAGTCCTTATTCCTCAGAGGCTGCTCCACAATATGAATCAAAGCATAACCGGGGAAAAGAGGGACATTTGCCTCAAAAGCACACTCCTGATCCAATCTGTAACACTAATGTAGTTATACCAACTGAGTCCAGGACAGGATCCTCAGTGGTTTCACACTAGCGCAACATGGGGACACTCCAGTGTTTCTGCACCGTGCTACCTAGCCCTTCCAATCCAATGAGCAGGCTGCAGATAAACTTTGACAGCTAATTCAACACAGCTCATTCAGATTGAACTGAGCTCACTAGCCCATGCTCTGCACTGCAGAGAACTAGCTACACCATTTCTGAACACTACTTGCCCTAAAAAGTCATACTGCCTTGTTTAAGAGCTGAAACCATTTGGTAAGCCTTTGTTGCATTGCAGTAAACCATACAAAGCCAACATCAGTGTCTTTGCATCTGTAGCACAGATAATTCTAGTTAGTCAACCCACAGATTTCAGATAAGTCCTTATACAGTTGCAAATATATTTGCAACGGTAAGCACACCTTTCATGGGTTAGCAATCTCCCACTGTCCTCAAATTTAAAAAAATGCAAGAATCTTCGCACATTAAAAAAAAAATCATTTAAATATATCCTTCACACAAAGACACGTTATCTTGAAAATAGTATCTTAAAAATAGAACTCTTTAGTTTATAAAACTATCAAAACAGCACACATATACCTACAAGATTTCAAAACATACTGAAAGATATCAAAATCCTTGGTGTCTCCTTGTTTCTTCCCTTTCTCTAAGTATGAAACTTGGAACTGTTTTAGTTTTTCTTCAAGTTTTCTAAAACTCAGCATAGGCTGCCTAGGAAGCCAAGTAAAAAACTCTTGCTTTAAAAAATCAGGAACACCACATTCCTTAAGAAAGAGTGAAAAGACTTGTTGGTTGCTTTCCTCTATATCAGTCCGCAGAAAATATGATGGATATCCTTGCACAAAGTACTTCGACCCCATTTTCTTAACTTTAACGTTAACTGTCCACCAAGGGCCCACTAATGGAAAACGTCCAACTACTTCATACTCCTTTTCGGATTCTTCTTCTTGTATAGTAACTGAAATTTAAAAAGAAAAATAAACCACTGTTACTACTAACTGGAAAGACAAAAAGTTCAGTTTGATTTTGGTTGTTCATGCCTATTTTTATCTTTTGTATTATAACTTATATTAATAAGAGTAAACAAGCATAGGTTTTCATAAAATTCCTAATGTCAGTTTTTACAGTAATATCTAAAAACAGAAACACAACCAATCTCAGAAACAAGCATTAAAACCGACTGTGCCTCTCTAAGTGTCAGAAGCACATAATAATACTTGGTTATAAATATTTATCAAGCCAATTAAAGACACTGATGTGTGCTTTAATATTACACCATTTATGCCACGTTACATTTTTAGCGGAGTTTTTCAAGGATTTTGTCACACAGAGTATTGCACCAGGGTGCCTCCATGCTCTTCAGATACATTTGTATGCCAAACATATCCTGCAACTGAAATAGCCAAAGTTATAAGCAATTAACAGTTTCAACATAATAATAATAATAATAATGATAATAATACAAAAAAGCCTCTAACACTTTGGATGGTCTGGTGTGCCTCTGCTTTCCCTTCCTCCCTCCCTCACACATTAGCAGGACCTCTTTCTCACCAGAGTCACAGCAGAAATTAGGCCTACACTACAGTTCCACCTTTATTTTCTCCTAGTTACCTAGCTGAAGCTAGCTATTTCGAAACATCTTTCAGATAAAATACTTATACTAGGCAGAAGTTGGTCCAGGGTCACCTGCCTTTTTAAGCACTAAGCAACAGAAATTAGGGGATCAATAAGTTTAACTGCCATCACTCTTAACATGTCATAAAAGCAGAATATATATTTATATACATGAAGTATTTTTTTATATATGTTTTTAATATGTGTGTGTGTGTATATATATATATACACACATAAATATATATATATATATATATAACTTTTTGTATGAAATTAATTTGAATCATAGGATGATGAGGACATTTAAATACCTTAGGGAGAGACAGTGCCTGGTACAGGCACTGGGGTTC